CATGCGTTGACTGTATCCCGTCAATACAATACTAGTCGAATACGTAGACTTCTACAGGGCCTTCTAAGTAATGCGCGCCGGGTATAATTCAAACCTCTGCCCCCATCGGTACCATTACCCCCCAGGAGACGAAATTGCCGAAGCAGGCCATAGCTTGCACTTCCGACTCCAAACAATAGCTCTCCGAATACATAAGCGTAATAATTCTGCTCGAGTGCGGTAACAGCTGGTACAGCTGCTGGTACTCTGTTCTTCCTCTGTGATCTTCAACTCAAAGCGTACTGCACAGGCACCTGGTAAAAGTGCAGCGTACTTGTACATGTACATGTACGTACACACTTACCACTTATGCATGCATGTACCTGGTACACGCGTTTGGAGTTTGGAAAGACTTGGGTTTCCGGAGCATTCTTTAGTGGTCAAATAAATGCACCTTCCAGTACCGTACGGTACCTCACATTAAATCATTTCCATTCTTGCATTTGAAATGTTTAGCCCCCCATCCGCCACATCATCACATCATCCGGTCATTCGGAATCAAGAAGTGCCCTTTCCTGCTTAGCTCCCTTATAAGTTACTCCACGAAGCAGCAAGAGACGAAGGGATCGCCGCTGCTCTAAAAGATTTCGGTGTCAAAAAGCTCACAACTTTTCTCATCTCTCTCATCTCTCCCATCGTGAGCACCGCAACAGTCAAGTCAAGCAAAGCAAGCATCAAAGGCAGCAAGAACAATGGACACCATGAACAAAACCATCAAGAGTCTGTTCCATCGCAAAAAGTCCAAGAGTTTCGTGATGGACGAATCAGTCAAGTGTGACAACGACAGCTGTGATACAGCAACAACACTGGCAGAGGAACCCATTCCTCTGACCGAGAGCTGGAAGATCGATGCTGTCAAGGCATTTGTGGAGAAATGGAACCAACATGACATGGAGGGAGCACGATCCATGGTGACACAAGACATGGTAACTGTCTTTGCAAGTGCGGACAACATGGAGCTGGAATACCAAGACTACGCTGCGGAGGTAAACAAACTGTTTGAGGCCTTCCCAGACTTTAGCTTCAAGCATGAACTCGTTGAAGAGCACTTTGATGGCAAAATTGTCTTGCACAAGATGATTACCAGTGGGCACCACACTGCAAAGCCATATGCATTTGGACCGTGTCCTCCCATTGAAGCTACTGGAAAATATGTTGAAAACTCGGAAACGATCCACTTCTACTTCAGGGGTACGAAGATCATTAAGCAAGTGGTTCATGCTGATGGTGAAATGACAGGGCCACCTGGCATCTACACCCAGCTTGGAGGCTTTCCGGCCTTGTAGTTGAGAGCGCTGTGCCCCTCTTGTGATTCTGCTCAATCTAGCTAGCTAGCAACTGTAACTGGCCCTTTTAGTAAACGTTTAACTTCATAATGTTATCATTTGTGTGTACTTTTACTTGCATCCGTCCTCCATTGGATGCCAACAGTCAAATCTAGGTACCGGTAGGGGCCCAAACCGTTTGATGCCAAAACAAGGCAACACAGCCGAATTCAATCGTGACCTGTTCCGCACTCCCTACGATTTCATCAATCAATAACCCATCGCTTTCTTGGCCATAGACAATCCATGATTGCTGTCGTAGTAGATCAGCCATTCCTTATCAGTGCTTCTGGATCGAATGTACGTTCCGGTCCGCTTTTCAACGCTCCTGATGTTGCTGCCGCCTGCTCCAATGAACTGTCGTTCTGGTATCTTGCAGTAACAGTATCGTTCCAATTGCATATCACGTAGCAGCCTGGCAGAGCGGATGGACAAATTGAATGCGTTTTGCAACTGCGTTTTCCCTTTCGTCGTGAGGATAGAAACTTGTTTTGTTGCCAGCTCCAAAAGCTTGTCGACGTCGCTCGATGCCCACGCCTTCATCTTTGCAGTCAAGGGACGGGTGGCCCAGAAACGTGGGTTACTTTTATAGACGCTCGAATCTCGTGTCTGATTCGCTTCGATGCCATGGGCCACCAATGCCTTGTTGAGACTGGCGGGGCTTTCTTGCCTTGTGATGACCTTATGGAAACAGCTCGTGTCATGAACACTTTGAAGGGTTATTCCCAACTGGTGATAAAGCGCATCGCTATCCATGCGACAATCATGAATCACCTTTGTCACTGAGGTACACTCGCACAACTTCTTCAGAGCGTCTATGCGCTCTTGCAGTTTGACGTCGTTGCTCGTCTTTGTAACATCCACCAAGTAAGTCGGCCCACGTTTCGTCCCGTCAAAGGTGACAGATACCAATTACCCTTGTTCTCCAACTTGACTGTCATGGGCCGAGAAAAGAAAACCTTCCCGAGCTGGTATGATTTCAATGAGGATGGCCTACCAATCTGCACCGGAGACACTCCGATTGGCTGAGGGGCAGGCTTGAAGTAGACTATCCATAGAGATGCAATCAATCGACTGAGGACTCGAATAATTAAAGAACAACTCGAATGATTCAATCACCTGTTGACAGTCAAGATTTGACTGTGGAAGAGGTGCTGTGGCGTTTCTGTGCCCTTCCCATTCTATAGAATGAAAACGGCTGATTCTATAGAATGGTATGAGATTCTATAGAATGGTATATTCCACAGACTTCTCGCATCAGATCTCTTGGTAACCTCCTGCCTCAATGCACCCAGATCTGCCCCATTCATTGTGAAGCTGCACGGTCCATTGCAAAAGCAGCTCATTGGTCAAGTTCCACTTTCTTCCAGCTCTTTTGACAGAGGGTGGAGGATAAAGTACGTAGTCTCTGCAAAAACGTGTTGAAAATGGTGTCCCCGTTCAGCATGCATCTTCTCTACTGAGGAAGGCAAGCTAGCTACCACCCATGCGAAGCGATGTGGAAAAAGTCAGTCGAAGGTCAATGCCTGAAGCAATCTGGACCCCGGCTTCAGGCTCTACCATAATCGAATGCTATAGAGTTACAGTTCGATGTCCACCTCTTGTAGATGGCAGCCCGGCTTGGCTGTAGAAACAAGTCCATTCCTTGCGTTATATTTGAGAAACAACTGGCTTCAATGTGGAAGGTTTCCTCGTGACTGTGGTTGTCGACTTTGCTATTGCTTGCCATGGACCGCTTTCCTTCCGAGTCGTTGAAGAATCGGCCATGACAAACGTTCTCTCACGAATGATACCACTGCAACGAGACCGACCAAACTTCAAACGATCGTAGACAATATTGTGGCCCACAACCAGGACACCATCCAAAACCGTTCGTGCTGCTGCCGACACGAGCCGAAAATCGTAGATTCGTTCCCCGAGAAACACCACACGGCCCTCAACACTTGCACCCATCATTCGAGCCATGGTCGTAAACACCGGACTTCCCCAGACAACGCGAAAGAAAGACCACTGCTGGTAGGTATCGGCGCAGTTAATGTACACCGGATGGAGGCACGGGAACCAAGGCCGCATTCGTCCTTTCGTTGTACCCAACAACGTGATGAATTGGAGCAAAGCAAAAACCACAAACCATGACAGTGACTGCGCAATAAGAGCGGCAGCAGTGAATGGTATAATTGTCGCAATGGATACAAGATCGAGTAACACCTTGAAGATCAAATACGACGGGAACACTGTAGCCAGAACAGCTCCCAGAACCACCAGATCTAAGACAATAATCGCAAGCTCTCTGAAGTACAACTTGCAGGAATGACCCATTCGATTCTTCTTCTTTATTCGATCCTGAATGACACTTTCATTGACATAGCTCAATGGTGGGATCACTGTTCTCTTTACGGAGACGTCAGCTCCGATGTGCGAAAACTGGCCCAAACTGGCCTCCTCCAGCATTGTTCGGTGAAATATGCCATCGCTCTTCACGTCAAAGGTGACGGCTCCAATGAAAGATCGTCTTACACGCACCAAATCCATTTTCGACGGAGGAAAGGATTCGATGTCAACCTTGCTCACGAAATCAATGCTGCAACCGTGCAACATCAGAAGGACGTTGACCAATCGTGAGTTCTTGGCAAAGATTCGAAATGGCAGCGTTACCAGTCTGAAATGATAGTCTGCAGCCCAGTCTGCTAGGTGATAACCGCATCCTTTCATCTTGCCTGGTCGACGTTGGCCGATAAGTATGAGCTTGATCACTATACTGCTCAACAGCGATAAGAGGATACATGTTGCTCCAAAGATCAGCCAGTAGTCTGGAGTGGCTGTATCAATCTCTTCGGGACCCGCAGACTGGACAATCCCGGCAGCAACCCATATTCCATACATAATGCCCAACTCCACAAACAACCAGCAAGCTTTGAGAAAGCCTATGATCAGCCAGCAGTGGTATTCTCCGAAATCAGCGTCGTCTTGTTCATCCGCGACAAAAGCAGGATTACCGGCAAGCTTCACATGGTCGTCCACTGTCGCGCCTTCTGGGACCACAGCGAGCTTGTCTACATAGACCCCTTCACCAATCTGTGTACCCAAGGAAAGCATCCCACGAACTTTGGATCGAGCTCCAATTGAGATTGGGCGGAATGCCATCAATGGGCCTCTTTCAAAGCGCTCCCACGAAGAGAATTTTCGGCACTTGAGGCAGTGATACTTCAACGACGAATTCTCCCGCATGGTAATCAAGTCAAATTCCCGGATGAAACCATCTAGCTCACATGACACACTCAAGTCAGCACCCATGGCCGTGTAGAAAAGCCAAAGGAAAGGAGTATTGATAATGAATTGGCCCACCCAAACCTCCCAAAGATCAACTGGAAAAAAGAGAGTGAGTACAGAAAAAATACTGTCAGTGGAAGCTTGCAGCAGCCTTTCAGAAGCTGATCTCCCGGAACTCTACTCACCCAATCGATCAACAAACCACCACCATAGGTAGGGATAGGATGGTGTCACGATGCGACACTCTTTGTAGCTGCCGACGGCGATCCATTTGGCGGTGACAACAATCATGGAAAACGTCACCATCCAAATGGGAATCATGAGCAAGTAGAGAGGCTCTGCTACCGACAAGAATTCATATGCCAAATAGCATGGAAGGACAGGAACCGAAAACAGAAGTATGATGAGTAAAGAGAGGATGGCCTGGAGCAACCCAACATACTGCCAAGAAAGCTGAACACATTGGTTGAGTTGAAGATACATGGCATCCGTTATCAGAGGATTCCCGCTGTTCTCGGTTATGTGTTCCTTCAAAGACGCTGGCGTGGGGTGTTGCTCGAGACAGTTGGGCGGCAAGGTGACAAACATGGAAGCCTCGAGGTCTCGCCGCATCGGAACCGAACTAGTGGAAGTCAACCCAAGCTCATCCCAAGACAACTCGTTGTCAAATCCACTGCCCACATACCGCGACAAGATGTTGTCCAGTTCTGCTTCATGAAGGTTGGCGAGACTGTGTTCACCAACATTCTCAGCTCGTTTGGTTCGTTGGATAATCGACTGAATGTCTGGGATGGCTCGCTGTTCGATCATTTTACTTGTGTCAGGGATGGAGATTCTGCTATTTCGCCCAGGGTAGTCGTACAAGATGGTGATATGCTCCTTCAGGAGCTTCTGTTTGGTGATTCTCCTTTCTACCAAGCCCGACGAGGTCTTGGGGATCGCACCTTCGGGAACAGCCACGACGCTTGAAGCTATGATTCCTGTGCTTTCTTTCACAGCCTTGGCAACTGTCTTGCATACATCCTTCACAGTGTCACCACTGGTTGATTTCATGACTTCAAATACCACTTCCACTGTGCCTCCAACAGACGAGAAGGACGCCACAGCGCCTGGTTTGACTTCTGGACGAGCGTCCTCAACGACCCATTCGACATCAGGGGGATAATACGAGATGTTCTTCGTATTTTCCATGGCGTCCTTCTTTCGACCGCAAATATACAAATGATCAATCTCCCAGAACCCAAGGTCGCCTGTCCGCAAGAACTTTTGCTTGGCACCCTTGAGTCGCGCCTGGAAGATTTTCTTGGACAACTTCTTGTTTCTGTGATACCCTTTCATGGCCGTGACACTGGGGCTTGCCACCCAGACTTCTCCAACGGTTCCATTGGGCAGGGGCTGTCGGGTCGAAGTATCCACCACAACAAGCTTAACATTATCCGGTAATGCTGACTTTCTTGCAACTGCGACCCAGTTTGTTGGAGCGTAGTTCAATGTGGATGGCACAACCACAAACTCGCCCGACACCCATGATACTGCCAGGATGTTTTCGGACAAACTGTATCCTGCTGTGACGCTGCATTCCTTGTGCAACCGTAAGTGTCCAAAGATTTTGCGGAACTTGGACTGTGTGTCAAAGCGCGTCGCTTCCCCAACATTGAGCAAATGCCGCAGTGATGATAGATCAATCTCTCTTGCAGCTCTTGCTGCGAACGCCGGATCATAATAGTTCTCTGATCTGATATCCTCTACCGTCCGCATCAACAACCGGTAGGCGGGATCCGGGGCAACCGTCCATGCAACCTTGTAACGTGACATCAGGAAAAGCCACTGGACTGGAGCATGCTCAAAGTCCTTGGGAGACATGTAGTGCATCCGGCACCCGCTCATTAGCGGACAGACCATACCTAGAAACAAACCCAGGTGATGATCTGGCGGCAACCATGACAAACCCTCCAATTCGCTTCCAAAGATATCTTTCAAGTTCTTCTGTGTCATCAAAATAGCTTCGTGGAGAGCTTCAAACGTAAGGGAGACTACCTTGGGATCTCCCGTACTTCCTGCAGTATGAGTGAGACAAGCAACATCATCTGGCTTCAACTCTGCTTCATCAAACGTCCCTGTCAAATGGAAGGATTGAGAGGAACCTCCACCCAAAAAGATGGATGCTCGCTGCACCATCGATGGAGATCCGGGAGTCTCTGGTTGTCTCCAAAAGAAGGACGGTCTTGACTGCTGCTTTGGAGAGGGAGTCGCACCTGAACCGCCACGTCGAAATCGTCTAGAGGAACTAGCTCCAGTGGAACCGCGTCCAGAGGAACCACCCGCCAGAGGCGTCGTTGCCTCCTTGCGTTTGGCTTCCAACGGTTTGTCCACGACCCGCCATGGCGCATCCATAGGCCACATGAGACAACTCGTCGAATCTCGATCGGCTTGATCCTTTTCCTTCCAGTAGGCCACGACGGAATCGGTGAGAATCAGAGCCACGGGAGCTGCTGCCTTGAGAATCAAGTTCATTTTGGCCAAGGGTGTATCAAACGGCGGATGCGGCGCTGCGACGACCAGAGGGACGACCCCCGCCCGCAGACATCCTATCCAAGCAGCAATGTAGCTCAGACCACTGCTATCCAAACAGAGCACCACCGTCTCTCCCTTTTTGAGCTTCCACGTATGCCGTAGGTGATAGGACAGAATCCCGGCATCGTCCCAAATCTTGTAGTATGTCAGGCTCTTGGTGGGTTTGCCATCGGCTTCGTAGACAGTTGCAAAGGTTTCCTCGTCATGCCTGTCCAACACGTCTTCCAACTCTTGCAGAAAGGGCACTGCCAAGTCACTCAGGTAATTGGTACTATGCGTGGAGCTGTGTTTGGACGTGGCAGTCGCAGCAGTCAAGGGAACGTCTTCGGCCATCAATTCCTCCTGAATGGTTGCCTCGAGTCGATCTTCTTCGTCCTTGAGTTTGGCTTGGACTTCTTGAGCCGCATCCTGCAGCGCTCTCAATTCAATATCTCGTTGCTCTTCCAACTTCCATGGATCTTCCACCGTGTCCTCCCGTTCCGCATCTATCGCTTTTTGCAACTCCTCGGCTCGTTTTATATTATACTCTGCCTGTTTCAAAGCGTCCTCTTGTACCTCCGCCGTGGCCAATCGTTGTTGTCGCTGTTCTTGTTCCGCTTCTCGCACGGCTTGTTCCGCTTCTTCCCCCGCAACATTGGCTTTCTCGGCTTGCTCCTTTTCCAATTGAATCTTGGCGGCATCTTGCCGTGCCAATTCCATGGCCATGCGTTGTCGTTCCGCTTCGAATTCGGCCGCCTGAGCCGCCTGTTGGGCCGCGGCCAATTCGTTCGACTGAGCGTCGGCTTGTGCCGCCACCAAGAGTGCCGCTTGTCGTTGTTCTTCGGCCAATGCGGCGACTCGTTCGGCTTCCACGGCGGCTTCTTCGGCAAAACGCACACTGGCATCGAGGGCATCCTCATTGTCGTCGCCCCCAGTTCCAGCCGTAGCGCCTGGAGTATTTTCCAACCCAAAGACACTTCCCGACAAGTAATCTCGATTCATGAACGCTTCGGGTATTTTAAAACTGGACCCTCGTCGAGGAGAAAAGTCGCCACCGGTGGTGGAACTTCGCTGTTGTCGTTCCATACGCATGCTATCGGCATCGAGTTCTTCTTCTTCTTCCTGATCAAAGGAGGGAGTGTTGTAGGGCGTAGACGTCTCAATGCTGGCAGCCAGACTGGCAAGGTTGTCCCGTGCTTCGGCTGCTGCCGTCTCTTCCTCCACATTGCCAGTATCCGGGTTGTTGCTACCTGTGGTATCAGGGTTTTTGTTATCACTCATGGTGGTGGTGGTTGTTGTTGGGGTATGAATTAGACGGTGGTAATAGGTTGCAGTGAGCTCTATCTTCCGTGGATACCCTCAAACCACTGTACATGTAGTAGCGTCGGTTATCTCTCTCGATCTCCGTTATTTTATTAAGTCTCAATCTTCCTTGTATACCCTCCAGCCTCCAGCCAACCTTAGACAAGCTTCTGTCTCTCGATCTTTATACCAACCTTCTCTTTCCAGACCTCAGGTTACCATACAACAGTTGTCAAGGTGATGTTAACCTCGATGGTTTTGTTGCTACTGCTAGCTAGCTAGTGCTGCTGCATACGAGAAGGCCGGTGGTATCCCTGATTTCCTGATGCGTCTATTATCGGGTGATCCCTAGTCCAAAAAACAACACCTTTCTATCTATCTCTTGGTCATATTGCATCCAAGTTCAGGTGGATACCACTGCATCCTCACTAACTGGCCGTCGTGCAACCTTGGGCCAATCGATGGCTCTTTGGTCGTTTTGTGAGCCCTGGATAATCCCATGGGCTCGTTAGATGTCCGTGGATGCCGTGGATCGTGGATCTTGCGAATCTAATCCGTCGTTGTGGTACCGTAGAAAGATACTTTCATCCATGCGGGAACAGTGACATTTTTTTGAAGCATCAATGACCTGAGACGCCCCCAGGCTTAAGCCATCATTTGCCCCCAAGCCCAATGCCCAAGGTCGCTTTCTTTGCTTTCGGCTTTTTGGTCATCCCGCGCAGCTACTGGCTACCGGTACCAATACCGTCCCTCAAAGGATCGATTTGTTCCGGTACCAAACCAAACCCTGACCTCTGGCTTGTAAAGAGAGCGGTAGACTTTTTCAAAAGAAGTAGTCTAGACTAACCATTGATCCATCCCCTGGCTGATTCCTCGTCGCTGTGCGTGCCCTGACCTTGCAGTCACTCTTTCATGAGGCTGACACTCGGACAGCCAGAGGACCCATGGGCAGGGACTAAACTTCCACAATGCAGGTATCCTGCTACCGGTTCATCATGATCTCCTCGATGGTACCCACAAATGTGCTGCGCTCTTATTAGAAAGAGAAACCTTCAGAGATCTCAGGACTTGGGGTTGATTTATTAATTAATTCTTCGAACCAGCAATCTAGCTAGCTAGGTAGACGTCTAACTTTCTCTTTTTCCTAACTAGCTACCCTTGTACGCTGACCCTGCATTTTTATTGTTATTGCCTTATTTTAGGGTTTCCGGAAAAGAAGGACAGCAACCGGACACAAGTACCGGACCGTACAATAGACGAGCAAAGGATCGATGACTCTTGCTTCCTCATTATTGCTCTCCACTTCCGGTTTTCTTCTGGGTTGGCTACTATTAGTACAACTGTTGGGGCTCTCGATCGCAACGGCATGGAGCGCTTTGGTCGAAGACGAATGGCTAGGCGTCAAACCTCCCAATGGCACCTCTCATGCCGCTTCCATCAACCTTTGGATGGAGGAGGAGGCATCCGTTGCATGGACGTTGGAAAAGTTTGTGGGAAACCTCCCCAACGATTTGGTGGCAGTGGCAAGAACCAAAACTGTGCTGGATGACGACGACGACAACGAGTGGAGCGTTGTCCATCAAGAAGAGCAGCCTTCCGTGTCGGAACAAGTGTCGGTGGGACCTTACCAGGTTTTCTTGTACAACTATACCATCGATGGGTTGCTGGATGATACGTTGTACCGATTTGTCGTCATGACTAGGGCTGATGGACTTGTGTGGGTCACCATCAACACTGAAGCAGGCACATTGTACAGTATCAATGGAAGCTCCATGGAGGAGGAAGACCCCACCATTGTGGTTCTACTGTACGTGAACCAGAATGGAACGGTCCTGCGGGCTGACGAAGAAGAAGAAGACGAAGCCATGCCAATCACACAAGACAATGCTTCCATGGTGGATCTTTTTGGGACTTCTTACAACATTTCGAGTACTACCAGTCTCCGTCTTCGCAACCAAGACATCACCGGGACCATTCCCACCGCTATTGGCCAATTGACGGCTCTAGACGAAATCACCCTCAGCTTCAACGCACTGACGGGGACATTGCCAACCGAATTGGGCTGTTTGACCAATTTGGTTTACATGTCCGTAACCTATACACAGCTCACAGGAGGATTGCCCACTGAAATGGCACAACTGACGCGGCTCCAAACCTTGTATTTGAGTCGCAATCAATTGCAGGGCGTCTTGCCTGGCAGGTCATTACCACTGTCCGTGGAAACTCTGTGGCTGGATTACAACCAGTTCACGGGGACTCTTCCCACTGAGCTGGGGACTTTGACGGCATTGACTTGGTTGGACCTGCACCACAACAACCTTACGGGCTCGCTGGCTCCGGCTCTCGTGCAATCTCTGACGGCATTGCACGGACTAAATCTCAATTCCAATCAATTGACTGGGTCCTGTTTGGTGGCAACATGGCTCACAGCATTGACCGATTTGGGGCTGGGCCAGAACCAATTCACCGGTGTCCTTCCTTCTCAACTAGCAATGCTGACGGCCCTCCGTTCCGCATGGTTCCATGGCAATCAATTTAGCGGCAGCCTTCCTACGGAACTTGGCTTGTGGACCCACATGACAACTCTTAGTGTCTTTGGCAATAAACTTTTGGGCAACATTCCCTCCGAACTGGGCTTGTGGACGGCCGTGGATCGATTGGAGCTCTTTGACAATGCCTTTACGGGAAGCATTCCAACGGCTATTTGTGACCTTTCGTTACTTACGTTGTTGCGAGTGGACTGTGACCAACTATCCTGTGACTGTGTGCCGTGTCGGTGTATGAATTAGCTAGCTATTGAAAGACAGAAAGCAAAGGTCGCATTTACAGTTAGTTACTTTTAAAACCCAGATCCAATCCCCGTTGCGGGTGACCACGAACACCCCTAGTAGCTAGCCTTTCTGTTATTGGTAGTTGAAGGGGGGGTTAGTTAGAGTAGGGATGTAGTTATTTGAGGCTTTACTTGCTTCATTGCATCAGTTGCCTGCATCTAATGGCTATAACGTACCAGCAAATGCAACTAAACACACGCCGTTGCATTGGGTGCTATCTGGCAACCCTGTTTCGGATAGGTCACTACCGGTACAGGGGAGGGAAAGGGGGATCATGTGGGGTGCACTCTCTTGCTCACCAATGCTGGGGAAGAGCAAACTAAGTGAGTCCCAACTGGTTTGTGGCAGGGTGCTGAATCTTATGCTGCCGGAAAGACATACCGTGTGCGACACATCTGAAGCTTGAATCAAATGCTCAATCTGTGAAAGGGGTGAAACTCATTGCAGAATGAGGAGAATGAAGAGACCACAGTAAGCAAGATCCATGAAGGAACTTACAACGATTGTGGCCTTTTCGTTTGTGCCAATGTTCTGCACAGAGGGACCTGTGAGAGATGTCCTTGATGCAGTCTCTGGAGGTGGTCCAGCAGCATCTTGGGAAAAGGCCTTTTGCCATCGAGTTTTCCTCATCCCTCCCCGTGCCTGTTCCTTGTCGCAGATATCTGTGGCCATCACCACTAGAGAAAGAGGGTGAGGACTTTGCTTCCAATGCAGAGCCACGTTGCCCCAAGAATTTCCTTCACATTTGCTTACCATTCACCAGAAGCAGCCTGAATCTTTTCAGTTCAGCTTCATCCTTGTAGATGCAAGCTCGCAAGTCCTTAAAGTCGTCTTCATCAGAATCTTCCATGCTTCTTCCACGCTGTTCTGCTCCGCTGTGCTTTGTTTAAATTCGAGGCCAATGGATCGTTCTCTTCCACCGTTCGAGCATTAGGAATCCCCTGGAAGATGCAGAAAGAATCGATTTATGAGCGGCATGCTGCCATCTTGATGCTGGGAGTGATTCGCAATTCCTTCACTCACCGGGTGTTGCATGTCATGAATGGCGGCAGAAAACACGATAAAGAACTGGGTAAGTGGATCACTAGTGATACCTGTTTTTTTTACAGAACGAAGGCCTTTGGTGTTGCTACCGGAGAACGGCGAAGAGGCCATATTTATTTGACCTAATCGATGTCTTTTTGTTGTGATGAGCCAATCAACTCTTGCTTACTAGCTTCTAGTACAGTACCATGCCGGCTACCACCGATAGTTGCACCATCTGGTACGCCGCACCTCTATCGGTACCGGTAGCTAGGCTTGACCATGCTGAGCAATCACTCAGTTGGTTCTTTGGTTGGCTCTCACGGTATCTTTTTTGTCTGCCCATAGACAGTGGACCATGTGAGCTAGCATTCGTATTCGTGGCAGCTGTAGCTTTGGATAGTGTGACCCATCGTCCACCCGCGTATAAGGACAGCTTTCCATGTCATGATCGTTGCAAACAGCAATGGTCAGCCCTGGTGGAACTCTCGTTTGAGCTCGTTCCACAAACTTCCTCAGACGATCGTTGAGCAGTTGCACATTGTGATCTGTCCCGGCCCCTTCAATACAGTAACGATGCATGTCGTCATCCGTCAGATTGTAGTGTTCACCATCACGGCGATTGGATTTTTGGATCTTGGTGATACACTTGGCCACGACAGTGCTCGTATTCTCCGCCAAATCTGCGAGGCCATGTTGCAGTTGTTTAGGATATCGTTCTTCACAAATATAGTTTGTAGTCTTGAACAGGAGCAACTTGGTCCCCACTTCCCGAGCTACTTGCAACACAGTCTCCAGCCAATCCTCTTCGTAGTGAATAAATTGATGGACGTTGCAAGGTCGTTTGGGAGCAATGCCGTGATGTAACATGTGAAGACCCCAATTGGCGACGATCACGTCCGGACGCTCGACATGCAGTTTGGGCCATACTTGAGTCTTCCATCCGTGGCAATTATCCTTCATGTTATAGCCACGGAATCCCGTCCAAAAGATGTGTGCATTCATGATGTGATCATACCATACATCTTCGACCAGAGCATCCATGCCTACCAACCGAGTGCTACCTTTGCTTCGTCTACCAGCTTCCGCGTCCAGAGCCCGAACGGTCTTGGTGAGCGTCTTTGTGTTGGATAGTTTTGCCAGAAAGTCGTCTTCCGCCTGGTTTGCTGCCGTGTTATTATTGCCTTCAGTGGATGGCTTTGTCAGCATGATGATTTGATGCAATCGTTGCAGCGTTTGGAACAACGTGGAATCTCCGATTAGAGCCACCCGCTTTCCACCAAAGGCTTGAGATAGCAAGGTGCTGTCCAAGCGAGGAATGGCAGAAGAATTTGGACCAGTCCACGTCTTCAATGATACGTTCTCGGGATCATCATGGACGGCCCGGACAAAGGCAGAAGTGCTCCAGGGCAAATGCTGGCATTGTTCCATTTCTGTCTCTGGATTGACAATTGCCCTGTCGCTCTTCTGATTTGTTTTTGCTGCGATTCCTGGATTTTCTGCTTCGTCAAGTAATACACGCATCCTGCGAGCTTCGAAGTTACCTACCACGTACAGGATGGCCATACCAATCGCGCTGGCCGTAAACCAACGGTGTCGTCGTAGAATTCGACCCTGGTCCCGTTGCTGGGGCTCTTGTCGTTCGATGCCTGGGGAGAATGTCATCTTTCCACTTCCAAAAAATTGTTGTGTTGGATACCGGTATGATGCAACCAACAACAGCAAAGGAAAGCTGTCACCCCAGCAAGCTGGAGGGACCATCGAGAGGTGCTCGCAATTCACCTTCGGGAGGTTGGGATTCCTGCGCGCAGACCTCGCCGTGGAAACGGACCCATCGTGGTACCGTACCGGTACGGTAGGGAAGGTCGTTTCAACTCGTTTTTGGCAAGTCCAACAACATCCAAAAGCATCGTCCCAGAACAGGCCACGACAAAACAAGCAAGACCTCGAAAGATTCCATAAAACAGGAAGATGCATTTCAAGAAGAGTACTCATCAGGAGATGAATAAGAACGACGTCAAGGTCCTTTCTAGTACTGGAATGAAAGCTGACGCCATGGCCACGATTGCTGGCCGTGACCATGCAAGTAGCAGCATTGTGCTCTTTGATGTTGGCGGAAAGATTTTCAAAGTCTCTCGCTCTACACTTGACTTGTATCCTGACACCATGTTGGCTCGCATGGCCTCTAAAGAATGGAAGACTACTGGCGAGAATACGCCTTTGTTCATTGACCGTGATGGCGATCTGTTTCGATACGTTTTGATACTGATGAGGGATGGCGGTGAAGTCAACTTGCCAATGACAGAATCTCGAGAAGGATACCTCAAGGAGCTTGAATTCTATGGCTTTTGCCTTGACGATTTCGATGAGAGAGACGTCCACGTTGGAACCGTTGCGGAAGCAGGCAAAGTCATGGCAGCTCTTGCCGGCAACGTTCACAAGGAACTTGATGACATGGATGATTCCATTGCTGTCATAGAAAAGCAACTGAAACAACTAGAGCTTCGCAAGGAGGCCCTCAAACTGGCTCATGGCCTGTTTGAAAGAAGCCATGGAGTTCAATCAAAGGAGAACTGCAAGAAACTCACGGTTCGCAGTAAGGACAAAGACGATACTTTGTTTGCCCGCCACCTCGAAGCCATTGAAGGCAACAAGGCTATTTTGAATGAGTATCTTGAACGATACGGCCTCAAGTTGGTTGGTTTGAAATTCTTTCCACATGCATTTGATGTTGCGTTTTGTGATTTTCAGTTGGAACGCATCGCAAGTCGAGACAAAGATGCACAGTCCAAAGAGAAGAAGAGATCCAAAAAGCAAATGGGGGGTGATGAGTAATTGAGCGGTACGAATCATCCTCTAAAGGAGACCACACGGTGGGACAGCCGAGCGGGAGAACAGTCAGTGCAACCTGGGTGGAAGCTGCCGTGCATGTTGGTGTTCTGCGGGTACTTTTAAAGAGTCCATTAGCTAGTAATGGAAATTTTAGAAGAAAGATGCTAGAAAGCTGCAAGAAAACTTCCCCTGGCATAAACATGGCGTCAGGTCGTGGGGCCTGGGGTTTCCAGAAGGCAAACAGCGAATGACCTCTTCGTGCTGGAATGTTGGGATGTCAGAAACGTCAGCCAAGGGTACTAGTACCATATGATCTTGAGTGCGTTGGAGGGAGTTCACATGAAAACTTGGACACATATCTTTGATTCTCAAACTTTCATCCCAACACTGTATATATCCTCTTGGTCCAGCGGAAGGAGAGCAATGGGCGATTTCAGCACCGAAGACCTACAAGTGGCCATTTTCTCGGCGGAAAATGAACTGTCAAGGTTGCCCGATCCAAGTGTTGACAAGATGGTCAGAACCCTGCAGCAATGCCTGGAGCTTCAGGAAGAGAGAATCCTTGTATTTACCTTCAGCAAGAGTTTCCTTCCTGTGACGGCTGCCGTTAGAATTTCCCAGGTTGTCAGGAATAGTCACGCCGAGATCATTCAAAGTCGCAGCCCCCTCCTTATCAAGACTGCCAAGGGAAAAGTCATCACTGTTCATCTGATTGGAGCCATTGGCTTCTTCAGTGATCATGCATTCTTTACAGCGGCACCCACAAGCGTTTCCAACGCTGCCATGCACTCTCCGGAATCGGAAAAGGTCTCGACGGACAACAACATGTCGGGGGAACCTGATGGAAGGGTCGCTTCGCCGGAACCAAGCGCTGGTCTTCCTCCGACCAAGGCCCCATCATCCTCTACGAGGACCAATCCGGGTGTAGATAACACCTTCAACTTGGAAGCCTTAGATGACGAACTCCCTAACCTTGGGAGGGGACCTCTACGGAATGCTTTCCGGCAAGTTGGCACCAACCGCCATGATAGAATCGGCAGCGCTCTTGGCAGGACGCTTCCATATTATGGTCCGCACCCCCTTGATGCTGCGACTGTCGTTACCTGCTTAAGCTGCGCCAGCGACGTCACCGGGGATGGTACGTATGGTTCATCCAGTACCCGTTCGGGCAATTGCCATGGCTCTCTTCCCGTTGCAGCAGGCATTCCGTCACACGCGAGGGGCCATGGAGTTGCTTTGAACAACGACAATGGTGAATCCGATGACGATCGTTTCGACGATGCCTCAGAAGAAGATGATTTCTAGCAGCATGCGACAGCTGTTGCGCATTTGAGCATCTGGCAATGTTGAGGATCACTCGCATGCCTTCTTCACCGTCTAGAGGGAGGATAAAAGATGTGACGTTGAGAGTTAGCCCAAGCCCGAATTCCTAAATCTCAATGGCTAGCTTAGCTGTTGCATTCTTTGTAATTGGCACAAAATCTTTCTCTGATGCACACCCGTTCTATTTGTATCATAGCAGTTTTGTTTCTCGTATTGCTGGCTGTGCACCCCATTCCTCTGCTGCCGACCTTGTTGTCTGTTTGTACAAGCTTCTGGCAAATGACTTACTTGTTGTCGGCAGCAGACAAAAACTCATCGTTTGGCTCCGTCTGGCCGTCCGTAGATTGCTGTTCATTCATCGTCGCATTCGAAGTAGGAAAGATTAGAGCGGCCCAAACAATGTGTTTCGAACCGCTTTGCTGGTACTTCCAGAAGGACCGACAAACTCCAAATACTCGTCCATACTAATGTCTCCATTCTGATCGAGATCGGCTTGTGCCGCCACTCGTGCGCTTTGCAGCTGTGAGAGGTTGATGCCGTACGAGAACAAGGCCACGCGGAGTTCCTTGCGCGAGAGGACTCCATCGCGATTGGTATCCATGAGATAAAAGGACTCTTGAACACCCGTGACAAAGTCCTCACCTCGTTCCGCCACCCATTTTTTCTGCAAGGCAGGCGACACGTCGGGCATTTCCGATTCGCGAGCGGCATATTCCATTTGACCGGCCACATCGACCATGTGGGTCTTGTAAAAGGTGTAAAAGTCGTAGAGGGCATGGGCGAGAATGGACACGGCCAAATTTCCCGTAGTCAAATACAGAAATGCAAACCAAGAGCCATTGATGAGTTGCAATCCAAAGAGCACGATGTTGTCCAATTTGGCATCCTTGTCTCCTTGAACGAAACTGGCGGGGTTGGTGTGTAAAATGGCAAAGAGGACCGTGGAGAGCAGAGCACCCGTCAACAAGTCTCCATTACCAAAATTGTTGGCAAAGACGTAAAGCAATTGTCCTCGAAAGGTGGTTTCTTCCACAATGCCTGTCAGACCGGCCAAAAAGGCCGACACGAGCAATACCGAGATGGGTTTGGGCGTGTCACCAAAGAGTCGCAACACGGCCATGTTGGTGGACAGATTCAACCCCGAAACGGCGTAGGCCTCGGAGGTTTCGATTTTCCGAGACAGGGCCAACATGGGCAGGACTCCTACAATTCCAAAGACAATCCCTAAAACGCCAAAGTCCGCCCTGTTCGTCAAGACCTCATAGCCATTGCCGCCCGTCCAGATGGTACTGCCAATCAAGGCTTGGTTGGCGGCGTTCTGGGCAATCAGCCCCAAGTTGAGACCGGATGGTTGCGGTTGCTCGCCGCTGGTTTGCATCGCAAGGCAAGACGATGGTTTGGGCGGGAGAACGAGACCATCGTGGCAAGTTCGTACCACTCCTTGAGGAGACACAAATCCTTGGCTGGCAAGTGGAGAGAGGAGCAATAGCGATGCTGTGATGAGCTTCATGATGACTGATTTGGGTGCACTAGTAGTATGGTTGGATGTGGAACGATAAGGGTAAAGTCAAGGGAAGTCAAAGAAATGAGATACACAAAAAAAGAAAGAAAAAGATCTTCACAAGCTAGAGCAAGGCGAAAGATCTTGACAGCGGACATCATTTGAAAGATACGGTTCGACTTCCGGGTTCCGGATTATCGAATGAATCAAATCGTATCGAATGAATCGAATGAATCGAATACCGGTACCTACCTGGAACGCGTCAAGAATCCGAACGCATCCAGAAGACTGCCAGAAGTCTCATTACATCAATCGACCGTGTGCAGGACCCACAAGAGGAAGGGTAGAAAAATAAGTCAGCGGGAGCTGCGATACCTCGGCAGAAAGACAGATAGAAGAAGGAGAATCATGTTCCGATTGCACCCATCTTTCAAGCTAGCCCTGGCGACAACACCCGACTACGTCGTGTGTTGCCGCCCGGTATCATTCATTCCTGCATTGCAACCTTCTTTTTATTAAGCTAGCCCTGGCGACAACACCCGACTACGTCGTGTGTTGCCGCCCGCTACTCTATAATTTACCAGCTGCCATTCCCTTATTGTAACTCTAACCTTTACAGCTCCTGCTGGCTTATTGTGCTGTTGTGCTGATTGCACTAACCTTAAATATTAATGATTTATTCCTACCCCTAACTTGTATTGAACCATCAATGTTCAGTTTTGTTGGCTTATGACTATCTCTATCCTTATGCTTTGGCTTCACCGGAATAGGAAATAGGAAATAGGAAATAGGAAATAGCATTAAAGGGGTTGAGAACTCAGGCAGTTTACCTGCCGAGGTTAGACCAAAGAAAGCCATCAGTTGTAGCAGGGAGATTCACAACCCCGAGACGAACGTGGTAGCTGCGTCCTCGGTGTGTTTGGCCCCGTCCTTTTTGATTTCGCCGAGTCCCCCTCCTTCGGACTGTCGTCGAGGGTCGCCAGTGAACCGAGCAATTCAAACTAAGTGCGGCTGCCACCGGTACATGTAAATTTGAATGCTCTTGGGAAACTGAGCAGCCGACGCGGTGTGGGCTAGGCATCTAGATGGCTCGCAGCTAAATTCTATTCAATTCCCTCGTACCAGTGAATGTTTTTCTTATGGATTTATTCTTGAACTAAATGCAACCGGCGAAGATGCATTTGAATGAATGAAATGTATGAAGGAATGCATTAGGGTCCACACTTCGCTGGGCCATCATCTCTCACTTTCAAAAGAGTCAGTTCAATCTCGCGCGTTTGGGGAGGGGCTCCTCGGGAAGGTCGTGAGCAGGAGAAGAGGTCGTGTTACACGTCGTCATTAGCACTTGAGTTAGCAATTTCAACGCCAACATCACCGCAGGGTTCGATTCGCCAAAGGAGCGTGATTCATTCAATTGCGTGAGTAGTATAATGGTCAGCCGCACTGCAGTACTGTTGTCATTGGTATTCATTGACATCTGGGATGGCAAAGCGAGCAGAGCGTCAGTTGGACGCTCACGAGTCGGGATATTCATTGCAGGGGGCAGAGATGCCTGCAACATCATGGACTGGTCGTCCAAGTTGTCTCTGTTGACTGCCACATGTTCATGGGATGGAGGCGCCTGCTTGGGCTGCCCTCCTCGAACGACTTGAGGTGCTTTGGCCGCGGCTGCTGGAACCCTGCCATCAGCTGGGCCCGCGGATGCTTGGCCGGGTTCACTGATGTTCATGTTGGTAGCAATGGCGGTCACAGTTCGAAAAGATGGAGGTGCCTGCTTGCGTTGCCACCCTGAAAACTTCTTCGCGGCCGCAACGAGGGCGCTGGCACTACCAGCTGGGCCAATGGATGCTTGACCGGGTTCACTGATGCTCCTGTTGGGAGAAGTGGCGATTGCAGTGCGGAAGGATGGTGGTGCCTGTTCGCGTTGCGACCCTGAAGACATTCTTGAGGCTGCCACTGGAACCCTGCTCTCCGCCGAGGCAAAAGAGACACCTTGTGGACTGCCATTGCCGAAATTTCTCCTCCTCAATAACAGAGTGGCAGCAAATGATGAGCCCTTTTGCACTTCAAAAGGTATTTTCTGCAGCATGCCTGCCTCTGTTGAGCTTCGCTTGAATCTGCCACTTGGACTAGGGTTTGATGCTGATGCTGCAGGAGTACGGTTGACCCTCTGATTTGCAGCTGCAGGCATCTTCTCCACGGAGAACCCCTCCTCACCAATGGCAAGATTGGACCACGCAACACCAGCTGCACTTGCACCTGACTCGGCTAAGGCCAAAACAGAGCTTCCATGAGCCCCGGCCTGCGCAGACCTTTCGATGCATTGCATGAAAGGTGCCTTGGGTCCTTGGTCTTTCAATGACTGTTCTGGTGCCACAGAGCTGTGGTTGGTGTTAAAGGATGATATGGCACCGGTGGCTGGCATCCTGGATTGTGCCTTCTCCATCACATTGTCATTCTGGCGAAGCGTTGCAGAGCCCTGATTTGAGGGCATGCTGGGGGGGCTCCGATATTGATTGTGGTGGCACAGGAGGATGTTTCCCTCGCCTCCCGCAGCAACCTCACCAAGGGTAGACCCAAGGACTCTTTCCAAGACCTTGCTATGCGGGTCTGTTAGGTCTTTCCTATACCGGACTTGATCAAGGAACACCGTCCTCAGCCTATCAAGTTTGTCTTTCCGGGCTTTGATCTCCCGCAGAGAGAAGGGCCTCCCCATATACTTCGTTCTTCCATTGTACCCATCAATTTTCTCGGCTCTCTTGGAGATTCTCTTCTCATTGCAGTTGAGCTGGTTTGCAAGGAAAGCTCGGAGAGTGGTTCCCTTCCGCAATCCTACTAGGGATCCATCCATGAACTGTGTAATCAATTCATCTAGGTATGCTTGCTCTTCAGAGCTCCAGTACCCTGTCCTTTGATCGTTAGCTGATGTCATGGTCGTCTGTCCAATGTCTGCTCCAAAGGAATGTGCGTGTTCCAGTCCTCGTCTTCGTCCTCGGAAGGTCACCCACAAGAAACGGAGTACTGGTGTGGTCGCCTGTTCGTCGAAAACTGAAAACCGTGACTGATGATTTTCGAGGACTTCCGCTTTCTTGCTGTCAAGTAAACTGAGACTCGAGTTGACTCTTAGCTTCTTTATCGTACTCGAGTACTGAGTACGTATCTGTACCAACAACCCCGTTCATTACTTTCACAGGCTTCAGAAGTTCCAGGTTCCAGGTGGGTCTTAACACCCATGGCCAGGCCACTACATGTACCAGAAACCAGAAGACAGAAGAAAGATTCATTTCAATGTTCTTGACCGTTTCCAATGGGTAAATCAACCGAACCATTCCAGGCACCGCCAGGAACCAATGTCGTTCGGACGTTCGGACACTATACTAAATACGGTACCGGTAGAATGTCGACGTGGCGTGATCAATACACAATACAGACCTTGCACATAGAAATCCCCACCACAGCGATAGCCGTTTCAATTATTTTGTCATCATTATTTAAATGACATGCACCTTTAGATTGAGCTTCGTGTAAGCTTTCTGTTGGTGTGCTACCGTACTCGCTATAGTACAGTCAATATCAAGGAAGATAAAATCGCCGAAATCTTCGCGCCGTGGCACGCCTTACAGATCCTACACGATCGAAAAACTTAGCCGGTCGTGGAAGGATGTTCCGACACGGACGATGCAAGACGTGGTGGATTTAATTATAGTCTCTAGTTTTTAATAACGAACACTAACTTTGCGGCGTTGCTTTCCTGGCTCTCTAGTCTAATCTAACTAAAGTGGTTGGAGGTGTTCCGCAGCATTTCTGCTCGGATCCAGTTGCAGATCCGGGGAGAGTTGTCTGGATCTGGACGGAAGCCAACCAGAAGACCACAAGAGCTGGAGACGCAGCAAGAGCACCGTCCTAGGATTCATTGTCCAAGGAACTGAGTGCCGTAGCTATTTATTGAAAAGACTGCTGGAAGTGCTGGTGAACCACAGCTTCAATCACCCCCCAGCTTTCAATGCTCAACACAAGTAAGTGTCATAAACAGCTCTTGTACCCGTATTCGTTCGCACGAGGCTGCAGCTTCCAAGATCGTTCTCCACTGTTGAACAGGATCTGGCTGTCCCAAGGAAAAGGCGAACCAGCCAAGAAGGTGGCTGGAAAATGACTGCTTTCTTTTGCTTGCTCCATTGGGCTTCTTTTATTAAAGCACTTGTGGCTGATCGAAGAAAGACGATAACGACTGTTACCTAGAAGGCATGTCTTGTTTTGTCGTGAATTAAGTTAACATCACCGAGGTCGCCAATGAGGAAGAATAAACGTTTGCGTTGGTATCGTGTCCGGCCTCAACCATCACCGCTTTGATCAGCCACCCAGAATACACCCCTTGCCGAGCAACAAGTGTAATGTGCGCACAATTGAACTGAGTTCATCTTTTCCGGGAGAAGTGGGGTTGTGGCCAGCTACCGTAGCAGTGCTGAGGTGCGTACTTTTGAAAAGCACCTCGGCTGTCGGCTGCACTCGCGGCATTCGTTGCCCCTCTTATTGGATCACTGCTCGAGACGAAGGTACCGGTACCGGTACCTGGTACTACCAGGTACTAGTAGTAGCACCGGCCGGTAAGGTTGGCTGTTCTACGAATGTACCCCCGGTTCTGTCAAAAGCTGCTCACAAGCAGCAAGTGCCAGTCACAGTTCAGGCTCGATTAACTCGACTCAATCTGGTGCAACAACGGTCAATGCAATATCTCCCCTTGGCCGAGACATTCTATTGTTGTTGTACGCCCACTTGCCACTGGTTCCGGTACCCTTAAATTACAGAAGCAGCAGAATGTGCCCAAGGTCCCGCTGTCGCTGGGAAAGGTTTGACATCCGTCTGGGCCCGAAACCAAAAAGGGTAACAAACAACAACAACGATCAAACATGAGGGTCTTCCTCTCCATCACTGCTATCGCAGCGGTGCTTGCGGTGGCCTTCCTTCTACTAGAGTTGCCAACCAGGGGAAGCCTTCGTGGAGCGGAACAGGTAACATAATTGTCCGCCTCAACTCATTTCGACTTGCCTCGGTCATGGAACCATACTCACTTGCCGCTGTTTTGTTTTGCTCCTACCGTACTAGCACCGCGTATTGACTCGTCACACACGCAATCATGCCCAAGCAGGCGTCAAGCGTGCCGCAGCGCTCAAGGAGAAGCGCGCAGAGAAGAAGAAAGAGGCGAGGAGGGTAGACAGGAATGGAAAGACACAGCCAGCCTACCTAAAGAACGACAAGACAAAGGCCGTAAAGCTCGGCAGTAAGATCAAGAAAAAGGTCCAGAAAAAAGCCGATGAAAAGGAGAAGGAAGATAAAGCGGGTGTTGCCAAGAAAGCGAACGTGGCTGAAAAGAAAGCAGGTGATCTCGAGAAAGCGGAGAAAGTAAAGAACAAAGCGAGCGAGACGGCGGGTAAGAAATTGAAGAAGGCTGGCAAGGAAGAGGACAACAAGTAAGCAAGCACGGAAGGAGCGATCCTGTTGGTCTTTGGCGGCGATAGCGTTTGTAGAACTGGGGCCCACCCAACAATTATTTGTGAATCATCTCAGTGGAAAACAGTAACGATCCTGTTTGTATGGACAGAAGCGTGCTTGGAAGATGCCCGAATGTTGTGATGCGTCGTTCGTCTCAGTCATTCTCTAGCTAGCTCGCTCCAGAATGTAGTTGTTTAGTAGTTTGAACGCTGGAACCCAAGACTGTAGCAAAGTGAGTAAGTTCACATCCGAAAATTCGTGGCGGTGGGATGCAGGTTGCATCAATGAAACTGAGTGTCCCGAGGAGGCCCATTATTTGCTACCAGACGAAAAATGCAGAATTTTAGCTCCGCGCTACAACTGCGCCGAGGTGGCAGCATCGTCGGCATCCACCAGTAGCGCCCCGAAAGTTGAAGACAAGCCCTCAAAAGAAAACTACGTCTCTTGCCAAAAGATTACCACCAAGTAGAGCGCTATTGTACTGGTGGCTCCTCATCTGCCACTGATGGTGCAGCATCACCCAGTAGACTGAAAAAGCACATTCTAACATTGACGTATGAGAAACGGCGGCAACGTGACCAGGAAACGCTCGAGTGGCTTAGCAACCTTGCTTGTGAATTTCAAAGGAAGCAAGCTGACGAAGAGTGAGGATGAAATCATGTCTACGCATTCGTCCTGGCGTAGAACGGTCCTTAATCACTCTGGGTTTTGGCAATGAAAGGAGGAGTATGTATGTGGTGCTTCCTTGGCTAAGACGGCCAAGGCATGCAATCTTTGCGAGCCACGAAGAACACCAACATGACAACCCTGCGGACTTGAAGGTGGATTGAAAGGATGTTGTGAAGATGAACCAACATGATACAAGATACGGATAGCCGCAAGGCCTAAACGAGGCAGAGTTTGGGAGGTAGTAACGAAGGAAACTATATGATCGAAGAGAGCGGTACCATACATTCAGTTGGCAAAGGCTTGCTATAGCTGGGCTTGATAGCTTGCTCCTACTAGATAGACTGCAGATATTCGCGGACCCCACGACCCCACTATTCTACGGTACCATTCCGATGCCAACTTGGCAGGCAACATCGACCGGAACAGGAATTCCATCTCATGACATTGCAATCCTGGGTCGTTCCAGCAGTAGTATTGATCACAAAACATCCGTGCGATGGCTAGATCTGTTTGGTGCTTCCATCCGCCATTCGCTTGACCCGAGGCTTGGAGATTGCCTTAGACAACCCTTGAAGGGCTTGGCCTGCATTGCACCAAACTGAAGGCGATTCACGAAGAAGCCCATACTGCAGTCCCAGCATGCAATCCCCCCATCTGCAATACAACTCCTCTTCTTTGGGGGTAGACAGTAACACGCCAACCAAATCGGCCACAGTTGCGGAAGACTTTGTCACCTTCTTCCTACCACATGTATTCAAGTCACTGTAGTACTTGAGCATTGTGTTTCCAGTGCTCCTCCGAAAGCTTGCCGCTTCCAACGCCATGTTGGAGTTTTTGAGCATCTTGAGGGCGAAATCTTCATAGAGTTTCCGTTCTGGGTATTCATTTTGGGTCTGGTTGTGACCATCTAGTTTGCGGTAACGGAAGTGCTTTAGCCTATTTGCACTGTTTTCTTTGTTGCTTGCCAAAGCTTCCAAGAGTGGGAACAGGTCTCCATGATCTGCAGTTGCAAGCCAAGTTGAAATCTCCAGGAGTTTGAGTTTGGTTTCCTTTCTCCCTACAAGCTCACAAAGTACAGGCACAACTTGTTGAAGGTGATCACTGCGACTCAAATCAACCCTCAATTCTTCAAGCTGAGGCATTTGGGCCACTCCATAGTCAAGACTCTCAAGGAACCTCTGATACCTGAATCGGCTTTCACCTACAGAGCCACTAATTTCAAGCATCTGAATCCCACTTCTGGCCAAGAGAGGCTGGACCAAATCAAGGTGACTTGCTTGCGATTCAATGCCAACATAGTTCTCAAAGTCTTCCGGGATCACAATCTCCAAGTCTTTGAGGTTGTTCATTTCTAGCAGGCAGCAAAAAAGCTCAGCACCCTTAGCACCATTTCTCCAACACTCTTGCAATCTGGCCCAGATGCTCTTTGCCTTCGAGATCAAAGGAGATATGGCCCTGATGTTGGCCACGTCCGCGCCCTCGATTATTATACAGTTTTCATGATCAACGTAGTAGCTAGCCATGAGACCGCAGTAAGAATCATATAAATGAAGATGGTCCAGCGAACTGTCCGTGTCTGCACTTAGACAGCTTTGAGCAAAAAAACCAAGTAGGCTTGTGCTGAAGCAGTCCCGTTGAAGAGCTACCTCCAAAGGGGTGTACCCATTATGTTCAGCATGGCATCTGGTGAGCACCTGCCCTGGGTTTGCTGCTGCCAGCTTCTTAATGTCCTGTTCTGTGGGTTGGTTGTGGGGGTCCGGTCCACGACTCACAGCAAAGTAGAGGCAATCCTGAATAACTACGGAAGGATTCTGATCCACAAAGAAACCGACAACCCCAGGCTGGCAGCCATATCTGAGAGCATTTCGAAGTAGAACTCCTGTTAGAGCTTCTGGGAACAGGTGAAACATCTTCTGGATAGAATAGAGGTTTGCCTTGCAAACTACCAACAGCTCAAGTGGGTACAGGTCTTGCTCAGGAAGTTCTCTCATGTGGAAGCTGGAATCGCTGTCATAGTCCCATTCAGGAATGGAAAACACCCTAGTTTTGGCAATACTGAAGAATGGATGCGAACTAGAACTCTCTTCGTCGCTCTCCTCGCTGTCATCAGAAAGGGACTTCGTGAGCAGTTCCTCCAAGTTGGAAGGATATCCACACCTAGCGGCATTTTTGCAAAGGCCCGGAGTCAGTGCTTCAGGGCACAGTTTGTACATTCTCTTGACACACTGCAGGTTTGCCTTCTCTATTATCAATGCTTCCAGTGGCGACATCTTTCTGCGCGCAAGAAATTGGCCAGGGCGCGTCCCCTTTTCAGGGACATTTTCTCCCTCCTCCAGTTCAACGGTCCACTTGCGGATACCCAACATGCCTTGGAGGAGAGGATGGAACTCATCATTATCGTCGCCATTGTTGCTCATGGTTGACGTTTGCTTGTTTCAAAAAGGCTGTCTTGGATATCTCGGACTTGGTTGTCTCCTTGTTCAAGTAGAAGGTGAAGAAAAAGTGAACAATGCATCCTGAAGCACCGTTCCATGGAGTCTTTGGGATGGTCTATGTCAACGGACAAGTCTTGGTATCGGATATTCATTCGTCTGGGAATGGACGCCCGAAAGTCACGGGATAGGTACAGTAGACGACTTTCTTGTGCCTGCATTCTTGTACCGTACGGCACCTTTGAAAGCCTACTGCCTGTTGCAATCCTTCCGTTTCTTGGTACTGTACTGGTAACCCTCCCGTCCCTCCCTGAAGACTCGACTTGACCAGGATCCCTCTGGTCCAGCAGGCTGTGGATTGAATGAGCTCTGATTGATGAGTTCTGGTTCCGTTGGTTTTGTCACTTCAACTATTAATAACACTTTTTAGTCTGGGCAAGGAGAGACATATTTTGAATGCTTTGGTTCCTCTCTAGAACCACCCCTTCCCTCTGTTCCCGCCCCTACTATCCCTGCCGGTCACCCAATTTCTACCTTACCTCCCCCTCCTCCCCCCCCTCTCAATCCCCCTCCAGCCCCCGAGCTCTTACGTGGTGATCTTTCTATTCGCGGCTTGTTTGAACGAGGTACTACGCTATTATTGACGTACGTGTCACTGATTTGGACTGTGCCTCTTACCGCAACAAAAATCCCGTCAAAGTTTTAACCCAACAAGAACGCGACAAAATTTCCAATATAAAGATGCGTGCGAGTCCAATCGCGCTTCCTTCCACCCCTTTGTTGTTTCAGTGGATGGCATGCTTGCCCCTCAAGCCAAGACTCTCTTACAACGCCTTGCTTCTGCTACTGCCTCCAAAACTCAATTTTCCTACTCTCAAATGATGTTCTTCATGCAGACCCGTATCTCAATTGCCCTTGTGAAAGCTACCCATTTATGTCTCCGTGGATCCCGCAAAGCCAAACCATTTGGCCCCCGTACTGGTCCTCAATTTCTTGCCCCTGATCCCACAGAACCTAGTCCTGAATTTCGACTGTTCTTTGCTTAAAAGCCTGGCCCCGGCTGGCTTCCGTAGATAATTTCCCTACTCTAAACCCCCTTATAAATATTTTAACTGAGAGCGGATGGCAACCGGTAGGATCATTCGCCCGAAAGATACAGGAGGTATCTTTTAGGAGCACGCTGACGGGGTTTGGCAAAGATCCAACCTTCACGTGCAACATTCAACCTGCGAAGACAGCAACGCGAGAGCTGGAAGGGATGACGGCAACATACATGTACTTCACTTGTCTTGTCGCCATCGAGATGGCAGTGTGAGTAAGGGAGAGGGGCATGACAAGAAGATGTGGCCACGGTCAGGTGCCATACGAATAATCGGTACATCGGTAATACCGCTGACTGCCACTCGCTGACTTCATTCCCACTATGGTTTGTGCTTCATGATATGTACCGGTAGGGATATCCTACAACATCTAGCCAGCTAGAGTGAATGGAAGGCTTTGTTGCCATGGCTGGCGGTGACCGTGTCGAAGCTGCACCCATGAAGAATGCTGTCGATTGAATGCATCATTGCATCAGAATGTTTGATCAAGATGAAAGAAAAGAGGCATGACAAGCCATCCGCACAAGAATCCGAAATGACGCCATTTTCGTTTGCAAGGTCGTCTAATTATCCATTGCTCTGATGACATCTGCTGCATTGGTACCTGCAGCTAACTGAAGAGTCGATCTATCTACGTGTGGGACGGTCAAGCTGCTGGTATGCCGAAGGTGGGCGACAGCAACATGATGGGTACCAGTACATGCATGATTGGGAACATTTTCTCTTGGATGACACACGCGCGTCATATCGGGCGTTCCCATGGGTCTTCCATCATCATACGATACTGAACCTCTACGATGATGTGGTCACCGCAAGGTGTAGCCGTCGGAGAACAGAAACAGGTTTTTATTGCATTGAGCGAGTTGATGATGAGACATGGCGTTTGGAAAAGATTCCATCATCCTAGACACTTTCACTCTGAAAGCTTTGTGAAGCAATCGAGCACTCGGCAAAGTTGCGCACTTTGTGTTGGAACGCATGCTTGCTTTGCTTGTTTCGCCTCGCCTTGTAGATCCAAGACGTTTCTCTGTAATGAGTTGAGTTGTCCTCCCTGATTGCATCAAGACTGGTGGAAGTATTGATACAAGCATCCATTCAAGCTTTGACAGCATTAAAAATAGATCGGTCACAGCCGATAGAATGATCTATGGCGCATTCAACAAACCCCATCCATTAACTATCTCCTCTGAGCGTTCACTTGCCTTGACGACGGCAACTCCAGCTGCTCTGCGGCTGCAACGGTTGAGTTGTTTTGGTTAGAAAAACAAGTCCAGGTGGAGACAACGGTCCGTCGATCCTTGGGCGAGACTTTTGACGGAATTGATACATACGAACGATTGGAAGGAAATCAAGAGAGCGCAGCCGTCGCCAATGCGGGGTTTATTCCAACTCTTTCTAATGCTTGCTCCAGCATCGCTGCATGCAGGGAATGAAGGCTCCCCACTAGTAACGATATTGCTCACGAATTTGATTCATACACGTCCCAACGAGGGTTTTCCCGACCCTTTCTGGTATTTACGTACCACCGAAGCTCCTTTCATCGAAGAAAATGCACCATAATTGGTTTTCATCAATCGTGGCCCATTCTAATTGCTGCCAAAGGTAGACTTGACGTATGCACACACGCAAAGGACAGAGTCGACTCGCCTCGCTCTACACTTCTGCGGAAAGACACTGGGGGCCACCATGCATATAATAAGTTCCTTTACTACACTATTGCTTTGGTTGTTTGATCCACGAAATATCATAATTCGACAATCACCATGAAACATTGAGGCGGATATGGAAATTTTCCCTGGGTGGACAGCCGCCACGACGCCTTAAAGGAGCTTCGTTCCCAGGCGAGTAGATCGACAATCAACTCGTTTTCATGCTTCCATCCAACGTTCGCTTCGTTCGACGGCGGTCATCGGCGTGGGTTGAATTCTGATTCACTGTGCTCTCCATAAAGCAGGAGATGCTCGAAGAAGCCCAAAAACAAGCCCCAAGGGCCATGTTTTACTTTCATTGTCGATGTACTGCCAGTGATCACCAGTCAGCGACTTGACAAGATCTGACAATGTGGCAGACTTGTCAACCACCTTCTTCCTGCCACATTGGTTCAAATCACAATGGTACTGAACGCCATCGTTTGCGGGTTGGCGCCGTCTACCCCTCAGCGATACATCTGTCAGCACCATGTTGGTTTGGAGTACCTTCAGTACATGTGCTTCGTAGGCCTCCCGCTCCGGGTAATCTACGGGTTCGTACATGTAGCCCCCTGAGGGTTTGTTTTGACAGTATTCAAACTTTTGGAGCACCATGTTTTGGGCCAACGCCTCCAAGACTGGACTCAGATCTCCTTTGGCATTTGTGGGATCCAAATGAGGTGCATCATGTGTCAGTGACAAGCTTCGAAGCGTCGATTTGTTCCGCCCCAGGAGCTCACAAACCATAGAAAAAATCTGTTGCAGACATTGGCCGCCACCTAATTCAAACATCAATTCTTCCAGTTTGGGCATTTGCGCCACCCCATAGCTAGGATCTTCCAACATATTTAGAAACTTGAGAGAGTTCCCAAGTATCGAGTGGTGACGAATTTCGAGCTTCCTGATCTGTGCTCTTGCAAAGAGGGGCTGGAGAGAATTGCTCATGTCATATCCGAAGGTTCCCTCTTCTTCAAGATTAGAATGAGGAAGCGTCAACTCCAACTCCTCGAGGTACTCACTTTGAAGCAAGCAACAGAGAAGCTCAGCTAAGGCATGCACAGTCCAATGAAATCTTGTGTCCACACACAGTGTCTGTGCACTAGAGATTGCAGGTGCCGCAGCCTTGATGCATTTCACATCCAAGACTTGGCGCACTTGTGACGGCAGGTCGGGTCGTCGCCAGTGCATCCCTTTGGAAAAACAAAGGTAGTCATCATGACCTTGTCTGATCAACTCCCGGTATATTCGAGAAAGGTGTTCAATGAGATCGTAGCTGTAGTTCTGCCAACGAAGAGCAGACATCACTGGCGGGTAGTCTACGGTATCACGTAGTTCCACCAGAATAACTGCTTGTGGATTTAGGTCTGAAAGCATGCAGATATCTTTTTCGGATGGCCGATAAGGAGCGTCTGGTCCCTTTCCATTGCCAAAATGACACAATCTTCCAACTGAGTAACAGTAGAAGGGTCTTTCCCCGCCTGGAAAGTGACAACCCCAGGTTGACATCCATGTCTGAGAGTGTTTGTTAGTAGGGCCGTTGTTAGCGCCTGTGGGTATAGCTCGTACATGAACTGGATGGACCTGAGGTCTGCCTTGCACATTATCAAGAAATCCAGTGGATGCAACTCTTGCCAGGCAAGATCTCTGAAGAAGCGACCTTGGGACTCATCAATATCTTCCAACTCCCACCTGCCAAAACAGGGGTAATTCAAGGCTTCGAAGATAGGATGGGAGTTCACGGCGTCTTCCTCGGCGTCGTTGTCGTTGTCGCTGTCGCTTTCGTCGCCATTGCCACTGCCAATGAGGGCCTCCAAATTGGCAGAAAAGCCGTTGCTGCAAGCGTTGCGAATCAGTTCAGGTGTCAATGCCTGGCGATTCTGTTTGTACATGGTTTTGATAGAGCCAAGATCCGCCTTGCTCAAAATCAAAGCGGCGAGTGGGGAAATCTTCCTGCTGGCACAAGCGTGGGGAGAGGTTGTGGCCTTGTCAGCATCGGTGTCATCGTCAGCATGTTCCCACCGATCGTTGGCCAAGATTCCTTGAACAAGGGGATGCAAATCCGCGACCTCTTGGCCTTTGTGCTCAATGTTGCAGTGAGCGTTCATGCTGTTCATTGTTGGTTATTCGATGTACTATCGAGAGATATTACCAGGTACAGCGTGATGATTGTGGAGGGACACGGACAAGAAGTGGCCCGAGAATGTCCGAGGAGGCGTGGACTCACGGCTGTGATTCGGCATCATTCCACGATACCGGTAGAAATGGCGTGGAAACTCCAAGCTTCATCCTCATTGACAACAACGGGGGTTTAGAGTAGGAGCAATAGTCTACGGAATCCTCATTGACTGATCGAATTCAATCATGACGAAGGGACCACACATGTATGCATATGCATACCGATTTCTTCCGATACCACGGAGTGCGGTACCCGAGAAGGATATATAATAGGGCGGGGGTCGAGAGATGTTCTGGCTTAGTCTACTCGGATCAACTGATTGCTGGATTCGCACCTTTTGAAAGGGGCGCCCACAACGCCAGGGTGCAGAATCGAATCTAAGTTTCTTCTATTGTGTACGATCACTCGTCTATATAGTAGAACATTTAGATGGGTTCATAGAAAAGTGGATCTTTGCAGAGGACAACGAAGAAGTTGTGTACGCATACGGATATGAAAAGATATGTTATTAAAATGCAAGGTATAAAACAAATTGAACAAAAACCTTAGAAAAGCGCACACGCGGCTCTCCCACTACAAAGGCGTGCCTTGGGCTGCCTCTTGGAGTCGATTCCTCCATTCGGCAAATGCCTCTTGTTCTCGACAAGAACTGTTATTACTGCCTCCGCCACTTTTCTGAATTGTCGAATGGGGCCCCAGCGGTAGAAGCTTGGCCAATTCCCGATCCGACAATTGCTTTGCCATCCACAGTGACGGAGGCAGCAATGTGCTAGGATAACCGTCCTGCTTTGCGCAGGAAGGCCGACCATTCTTGGACCAACTCGGCGCCGCTCTTACTGGCGTGTGGTTGAAACTCGAAGAGGCGGCCCATTTCTTGATCCATGACATCTTCGGAAGGGGAAAAGTCCAGCACCACCCCTTCAGCCGCCAATGCCTTGCTGAGACTGCGGGCATGTTGGACCACGGGAATATCCACTGTTTCGTTCCATTGCGGATTCAACGTCCGCGTCTTGACACAGGTCATTTGCGACAGTACCCGGTTGTTGTTGGAATCCTTGGCCACGACGATGCAGTAGGGATCCGACGACATGTTGACATCCATGGCTGGCAGATCCTTGGCATACAAGACGGTGACACGCCACATGCCGCGCAGTCTCGATCCGGCAGGACAGTCCATCCAGGAAATGGCACAAAACACAGTCCCACACCGCTTGCCGTGGCCACCTTCTCCACAGTGCAGTTCGTACGGACGGCTGGATTGCAGCGCTTGCACCGCTGCCGTGTCGGATGGATCGGGCAATGGAATGTGGACTTTTCCAATATAGTCGTCGGCCGTCAAGGAATCAAAGTCCATCACGCGCAGTGTCACTTCGGTCCATTGGGTACTATTGGTAAAATGATGATAATATTCTCGTGTGGCATTGTATGCCAATCGGTCCATTCCATCCTTGTAGTTGGTCCAGAATTGTTGTCGATCGGTTTGTTCGGCTGGGGTCATGGAGTCATATCGGCGTTGCGTCAACAGTTCGGATCGTCCCCAATCAAACACGTTGGTAATGACCTTGGAGCGAATTTGAGCCTCTGCTTTGTTGCTGCGTGTGGGAAAGAATCCACAATCAAATCCCAAGGCGACGGAGCTTCCAATCCATTTTTGCGGCACTTGGACCTTATGGCAGGTGACGGCCAATCGGACCAGTTGGGTCACCAACTCGTGCATGACAATTTCGGCCATTTCGGAGGCAATATATTGGGTTTGAATATCTTCAATCGCTGGTTGTTGTTGTTGGAGATGCACATCGGCAAAGAATCGAAAAATATCGGCTCCCGTCAGTGTTTGGAATAGCATGCGCTTGGCCTTTTTGGCTTGCTTTTCGGATACCTTGCGTCCCCAGACGGTCACTTTGTCCGTGTGTGTGGATTCGGTTTCGTCCTTGTCTTTTTGTTCGGCCAGAATATCCAAGAGTGGATCCATCGATTCGACCCGTTCCGGTTGTCCGTCGAATCCTTCCAAGCGGTATCCTTCCAGTGTCGAATTGGTCATGCCATCAAGTACATTTTGTTTCATGGCTCGGAGTCGCGATTTGCCCTGCCACCCTCCCACGGCGGTTTGTTGTCCCATTTTCAAATCGAGCATGCGAAAGGCATCTTGATCATTCCGGAGATTTTGAAATACAAGCAATTGACAGGGTTTGTCCGAATCAGTGGTTTTGGTTTCCAGGACGCCCAAGTAATCAAACAGAAAAGGTGTCAAGAGACCCACGCCGGTGGATTCCTCGCCATTGGCTTGAATGGAGAGAATCTTTTCGTAAAATTCGCGTTCGTCTTCGGCATGACTGAGGTCCTTTCCAATATAATAGGAAGCAGAGGTCTGGTTGGTGGCCTCCATGCCTGCCTTTGTGAGTTGGAGTTTGAAAAAGGGTGCCGTACCCCCCGACACTCCCAACCGTGTGACGGGCGATTCAAACCAGGAGGGATCGACGGGTGTGAATTTGGCATTCGTGCTGCTGGTATGTTGTTGCTGTTGTGCTGGTTCTCGGACCTTGACTTGAAGTGTCAGTGTCCCATTCTCGTCGGACAATGGCAAGAGAATCCGACAGGATTGTTGTTTGGTATCTCCTCCCAATCCCAAGGACGAAGATTTGGAACATTTCAGGCGATCGTGATATTGTTTCAATAGCTCTTTCACCGTCGTTTGACACTGTCCCATTTCCTTGCGTCCTGTCGCTCCCAAACTGCAGTCGTTGTAGACGCAAAATACCAATACATCGTCGTCGTCGGTATTCAGTGGAATGCGGGGACATTCGTGAAACCACGCGGGCTCAAAGTGGGAATCCCAATGGGTCGGAGTCCGTGTGATTTCGGTACTGAGGGTGGTGGACGCATGGACTCGTCTGGAGGACAAAACCACAAATGGATCCATCTTGCCAATCCTCATATTCCCAATCCCCACGGCTTGGTGATTCTTTTTCAAGTGAGCATTCTCAATGTCAATCAATAGATAGTTGGTGGTACTGCTGGATTCACCAGAAGATTCCTCTCTGGCTGTTGTAGTAGAACTCATGATCAGGTATATATACCGCACTGGACAATTGTATGGTTAGTTCAAGTCAACTCGTGTAGATTGTCAAGTTGTATAATAATGTCGTTTGTTCTTTGCTTTTTGAATTGTGAGGAGTCCGAATTGCTACCCTTTGGGGTATCCATTAATTAATTAACTGCTGGTAAGCACCACCCCCGTGCTTGGTCCGACAGACCGAGCGTGAATCGAATCGAATCAACGAAGCCTTTACCAGTAGGTATTCTGATTATTTTAAAGCCACGACGCACTAGTATAACTAACTTGTTTACTTGCTTTCTTCCTCGTTGACTTGCTTTGTTCCGGTTGACTGTTGATGCACTGGTAAGATGTAACTGGATATCGAAACCCTAATCTTGAGGATCCAGATCTTGGTGGATCGAGCCGTTAGTAGAATCGCTCCCATGCATGATTCAGCGACAGTCGGCATCGCCAAACAAAGGGGGTCTGGACCTGGCCAGCTTGGAAGGGTTCCGCATCCTCCATTCCAACTCCCACGCACATTTCGTTTGGGATTGGAGATGTTGCTTCCTCCCGCAAGACCTCAATTGACCGTACCTGGTACTGGTACCAGGTACCAACCAGTTCATCGTACATCATGTTGTAATGCAGTAACGTCCACAACCAACTTCAGACAGCTCTTCAGCCTTGGTCTGCCGAGCCAAGCCTCAGCCTTTTCAAAATGAGAAAGCTAGCTAGTCCAGCAATCCTTTCTTCTTTTGCTTGCAGTTCTGAGGTTCCGATTGAGGAGTTCCTTCACAAGGTGTGATCAAAACGATAGCCTCGGTACCGGTACTTGCAAGCGGCGAAAGTACTGAGTAGTGTGTAATCATCTATGCATTGGCTGAATGGCTCAAGCAAGTTCGTTGCTTGTTTGTTCTCAGCGTTCGATCACCGGCTGTAGCCACCGTACTCATGCCGCTCGTGCCTTCCACAATGTATGATCATGACCAGCGCAAGTTTTGCTTGCTCAGTGGGAAGCCCTGCGGCATCCGACACTCTTTCCCCAGCAAGAAGCAATTCATGAGACAAGTGGACCTTCTCAATGTGGCTGGCCGATCAAAATCGGACAAAGCAAGGTATCACGACTACCTAGCTTGGTACCGGTACTGTAGTACGCAACCACCCGCGCCAAAGCAAGTGGTCGCAATCGACCACCAAAGCTAAAAGAACAGTAGATACAGAGCGAGCCCCTCAGGCATGTAGATATGAAAATCCAAACCACACTGAAACAGCATCATCACAAAGCACCATCAATAGCTCATGCATTTTAATTAGGTGGCCAAAAATGACAAATATTTTCGCAAGTCCGCTGACAGTTAGTTTGGCAGCTCCAGTTCGATTACTTAGTAACTATAGTCGTGCTGGATTCACTATCTTTTGCTGTTAGATCCAATATGGAGTACTCCTAATGCTGCCTTCTAATTGGGATACCGTACTACCAGGTAGCGAGGAAACAAGGTTGCCTCCGTTGTTGTAGCTTCGGCACCTACTTATGCACCAGCAGGGAGTTAGCATCTTGCAGCAATGCTTTTGATAACCTTGGACTTGGAAACACCAACCGCAATGAGCTGATCCGCCATTTCAAAAAAGTTGAATGATCCTGTAGTAGAAGTGCGGCATGTATTGTTGTGGATAATGACGAGCTTTCGAATGGTTGGTTTGGTCTGATCCGTGGCACAATCGATCTTACACTTCCGAACGAGCACTTTGGCAATCTCCAAGCAGTGCTGGTAAAACCTTTCGGGGTCTTCTTGGTTGCCAAGCTTGCGGTATTGTTGTCGAATGTATCCCGTAAACTTTTTCCGTGACAGCTGTTTATCCAGTTCGCTCCGCATGCGCGAAAGCATGCCGGAGGGTAGATTGTCAATGGCTCCGTGGTTCATTCTGGAAAGGAGACTTATTTCCAGGAACTGGACCGTGGCGTGAGGGAATCGACGCGGTAATCCCCGCAGAAGAATGGGTAAGATGGCGTGTTGATCCATAATGTCATCTTCTGCAGCTTGCAGCACTTCCGACCAGTGCTCGCGAGGCCACCCATGGATGACCAGCATCACCCAGCACTGACTTCCCCACAGCGACACAAACTTGGAATTGTCCGAATCATACTCGTCATTTTCATACAGGTACGCCATGAAATCGTCGGGAGTAATGTGGGTCTTGTGATACCCTCCCACCATGATTCGTGCATTGCGTAGTTCTGGGAGGGGGCATGGCTGCTTTCCTTCCAGCTTGAGTTCAAACAGGTTCCTGTTGGACGACAGAATGGATCCTTCCTCCAGCTGCCCTTGGGCATGGACGACCAAGGGTTTGGCGTCCTCGTCATCCGAGTCTTCTTCATCGACTTCAAAATGGCCGTGGGAACCAGTGACGATTTGAATGCGGCGATAGGCATTCAATTGTTCCTGGAGTCTCTCATTCTCTGCCTGCAAGTCAGAAACCACCTTGTCTCGGAGGGCGGCTGCCACAAAAGGAGCCAGGTCCGACATGGTGCTTGTTATGTACAAAAACAGCAGATTTCTCTGCAAGACAGCCGAAGTCTAAAAACCTGAAAAACGTTTGAAAAAGTGAGGTGACGCTCAACACGACTGAGAGTGCTTAGAGATAGGGCTAAAAAGGGTTGTGGTTTTTGGGCTCGAGAGTAAGACCACGGGTTGGACTCGACTCGACACAGGTCTTCATCGGTGGATCACGGGGTTTCAGAGTTGCTATATCAATGGAATTGTGATAACAGGGCGGGGTGTTTGTCCGGGTCGGCGGTTTTGACGGCGTCGTGCCCGTTCGAGTGTCTCCCTTGCTCAATGATTCAATCCTTCAATCGAATGCACCCCAACGAGTTCGAGCTCATGCGACGGCTGCTGTTCTGAATGATTGAACGATATTGATGGCACCGTAGATAGTAGTCGCAAACTAGCACAGGGAAAGAGCGCGATAAAAGCAGAGTATTCTGGGCCTTGCCAGAAAGTGACCGGACGCATGGCTGGAAATCCAGACGCCATTGAAGGTCACGGTCTTCGAAAGAAACCCATTGAGACAGACACAAGAATTTCCATGAACGCCAGACTAGTCGAACTAAACGCCGTCACCATGTTCGTCGGCATTGACACCTTCCCCGCAGCTGCAGTAGTTCGGTCCAAGACCGGACGTGTGGGTGCCGCTCAAAAAGATTCTCTCGCCTTCAGCGTATCGATCCGTGAATGCTCGCAGGTTCGCTGATTGCATCTTTATCGCCTCCGCCAAAGGCATTCCTTCAGCACCGGCATCGAGCGCCTTTCGACGGATTTCAGGACCTGCTGATATGAGTTTATGGCTCTCTGGCCAAGGTCTCTCCTTGCTGCATCGAGCGCAGAAACCTCTGTTATGGTAAGAATAGCGGTTCCCTAGGACTCTCCAGCAAACGTGACTCCTTGCGTTGTAGACGCCACGGAAATGTATCCCTTCAATGCCGAGGCATGCCTTACAAAAGTGCTTGTTGCAATGCGGGCAACTGTAGTGCACACAGGCAAAGACCGGCTCAAAACCTGTACCACAATACGGACAATATTCATCGATCGCCCCATCTGGCACCGCCCCACAATTGTCACATAGCAGCCCTGGTGGAAGGATGTACGTGCTCTTGTCGATGCAGTTGCGGACACGTCGTCGAATTGGCGGAGGCAAGTACGTGAGTTTCTCCTCGGAATCGAAGTACTTTTCCAAGTTGCCAGAAGTGACGGTGTTGTTGGGACCCAGAGGCCCCAAAGCCTCCAGAGAACGACGAAGCTGGATCTGATCCTCGTGCACGTCCACCGTTTCGGGGAAGTCGCCGATTGGGACTCCGTCCGTCTCGGCGCAAGCTCCAGACCGTGCCACACCCTGACATACTCGCCCGCATCCTTCGGTGGAGCATCTCCCCCAGTAAAAGTCCACGCCCAGCAAAGAAATGTTACCGCCCGTCGCCTGCATAATGTTGTCCCATTCTGGGCCATCATAGTATTCTTCGCGAGTAAACGGAGTCATCTTCATTGGGTGCATGAGCTTCCTGGTTTGGAGAGCATGCCTTGGACCAGCGCGCCTTTGCCATCTGTGAAGACAGGGTTGGCAGGTCCAGATACCGTCCTCTTCGTCGTCTTCTTCTGCGAGCCATTTCATCTTGCCACAGTACATGGCACAATCGGCCAAAGCCTTGCTTGTCGTGTATGCTTGGTCATCAAAGCTGTAAGGGTCAAAGCGATTAGCATCTCGGACGCTCTTCCGGTCCCGATGCAAGAACACGGCGAGCATACCCAGCACCTCCGTCACTTTGGATGTCATACCCGGTCCCTCTGATGAGGAGCTCTTTGGCTTTGCGGTGTCCTTCATGATGTTCTCGCACGCTTCCAAGCTCAAACGTCCTTGTTTGCAGGCAATCACCACAGCCTCCACCCGCTCTTGCCTTATCTTCATGGTAGAAGCCACAGCTCGTCGAGTGGCCATGTCGGTCACAAGAATGTCGGGATCATCCAATGTTTCCAGAAACCGGCCCAAGGCAAAGATGCGGGACATGACATCAAAGTGCGACGGCACCGCTCGCACTGAGTCATTTGTGTCTGTGGCGGTTGCTCGCAATACCAATCGTCCGGCATCGACCACATCAGGATGCAACAGCGCCCGGAGAAAGTCTTCGTCCGGAGGTTCGTTCAAGAGAATCCCCCACGTTCGTGGGAGGGCACCCCTGACAACCTCCATGGACATATCCCACAGCGAACCAGGTTGTCCATGAAAGGAATATAGGATACTGGCTTTGAGCGCCAAATGCTCGGACCAGATGCGCCGTGATCCCAGAACCGTGTCAAAATGGTCGGCACCCACAATACCCGATGGAAAGAGCGACGGGATCATGCTGACCGTCATGATTGCACTGCCCACAGCGGGAATGCAGAATTGATCGTGGGGGCGCTCGGTGCCGGCCACAAATTTTAGTTGCTGGATGCAATTAGTGCAATGATTTGTGACTGTCGTGTAATCGTAGGCATTCAATGTGATTGGTTGCTTCTTGTTGGGGATGACCATGAGATACCGTGCATTGCCCAACTGGGCTGCCGCAGAGAGCGCCCAGGTATGGATCCGCCCAAAGAGATTTTCATCCTTGGTGACACCACCGGTCAGAACGAGATCGGCCACCCGTTCCGTGTCGGGGTCCTCCAGGAGTTCCTTGGCCTTTTGCTCTAAATCACGGCGGTGTTTCTGGATAAGGTTGCTAGTGAAAGCATCACTCGTTCCATTGTCCTTGGAATCTTCTTTGAATTCTTCTTTTCCTTCTTCTTGCTGTCCTACTTGTCGTAGACGTTGATACAAATCTTGGATTCTGAATCCGTTAAATCTCCACATGAGAGCGGACCAGTACTGACAAATTTGTGGAACTTGATCGAATAGGAGCGGTTCCTTCGTCGTGGAGTCGTGTTCGTCCTGAAAAGCCCAGAGGCTCCGAATTTCCGTGAAGGAATCCAGCAATTCTTTCTGGAGAATGGTCCGAATGCAATCCGGCGGCATGGCATTCTCTAGCTCCCGTTGCAAAGGCACTTCCCCGTTGGTCTTGGTGAGATATAGGATTGCAATGGTGGCAATTTCGGTGCGTTCTCCAAGCCTGGTGGTGGCCTGCTGAATCTTTCTCTGGTTCTCTTGGTCATTATTATTATTATCATTCTCTGAATTAGCCGCCACCGCCACCACAAGATGACACTTTTCGGGAGGGCCGTGTCGGATGCGAGAGGTTTTGCCCAATCGATCCCACCATTTTCCCGTGTCTGGATTGTGCACCATGACGGGCCATTTCGAGGGTGCTTTATCGCAGAACCGTTCCGTGTGGGGTAGCCAATCCGATGGACAAATCACCACCACCGGCGTGGTACTCTTCCGGAAGACTTCTGCTGCTGGTGACCCTTTGTTGCTCTTCTTTTGCCGTCCGCGGCGCATGGTGGTCTCGCTGTTTACTTAATTAATAGCTGGCTCGTTGGCTGCGGTGTGGTGTGGCAGTTCCACTCCCTTGAGCTAGTCTACATGTATTGTTTTGTGAAGAGCAGGGAATAAAAAGGCCAATGGTGGGCGGCGTGGAAGGATCTCCTTGAGGGTTCTCACTTGAAATAAGATATTAATACCAGCCGTTAGGGTATTTTTGATTTATCATAATTAATATTTTACCCCAATCTTACATAACTATCCACGTCTCGCCAAACGTATCTTTCGGAGCGACTAGAACCCAGCACAATTTTGCTCCAGCGAAACCCAAACAACAGAAGCAGCGTGGAAGACAGACGCCAAAGGCCAACGACCATAAACAAGAACAAGACAAGCAACCATACAAGGCTGTTTATCAATATAAAAGCAAACCATGGAAGGCTACGAGATTGTCAAGGATCCGAACCTCATCAAGAAAGCGGCAGCATCGGCTTATGGCCGCTCATTCCGCACAGGCGGCCGCTTGGAGGATGCGCTCCAGCACCTCCAGCAGCACCCCAACGATGTCTGCATGGTTCGCCTGGATGTCGACAGCGGCGCTGACAGAAAGGTGGTTCTCTTGGGTGGCCCCATCCCCTCGCGGACGCTCTTGGACGTTTCGGACCACGATTTCTCTAGCGTGGCGGATTCCTTTGATGTGGGAGAAATGACCAGTCTGGTGGAACAGTGGTTTAAGAAAGATTTTGGCAAGACAGGTAGGAATTTGCTTTGGTTTGTGGCTAAACAATTACACGGAGTTGTGGGCATCCCTGACCTCTACATTTTTGCTTCATTATACAAATCTTGTTTCTTTCTATAGTGACTGTCAAGATTTTGGAGAGTGGTGACATGATTCATGGCTTGGGTAAAAACTCCAAGCTTATCAGTTTATCGCGCAAGACGCCTGCACTTTTAGATATGGCTGCGACCGAGGACACCACGGTGATTGGTCAATACAGTACGAAAACTCTCGGACACACCGGAGATTGCAATTCTGTCATTGGTGGTGTCGCTTGCCTCCATCACGAAGTGCCCATCAAGCCATCCACTGCTCCCGAAGGAACTCGGTTTTATTTCTTGGTCGGATACTCCTGCAAGCCACTCAAGGCTTGGCGCGATTCTCGGGTCTTTTGGATCGTATATGATCCCGACCAGGAGATGTGCTGGTTGGTCCCACACGATTTGTCACATGCCGCCGTCGGAGACACCGTCAGTGCGACAATGCCGCTGGTTTCTCACATATCGAGCCGGCCCAGCGACCAGACTATTAGTGTGACCCATCTAGCCACGCCCGTTCAGGCGTCTCTGGCTGCGGCGTCGCCCTTGCAAAATCATCTTCGGGCGCATCAGGAGTATCTTCAAAAATGCCTGACAACCGCCAAAAATGTGAAATGGGATGTCGAGGTGGTCGAGAAGAAGAAGGAAGAGCCCACGAGCACGGGTGGAAGCGAGACAAAGCCTTCCGCGGACGCTCCAGTCACCCCAACCACAAACAATTCCGCGGATGGGAAAATTGCCTTCTTTGACAATGCCTGCGACGCCTTGTTCGGTGACCTTCCGAAATGCAATGTTCCCTGGAAACGTGCCGTCAGTCTCAGCCCTATGCGCGGGCCCCTCAAGGTATTAGCCAGTGGCTGTTGTGCCAACTCTCGCGTGGTCGTCATGGACGCCAAGGCTACCAGTGCCACCAGCGAAATCAACTCCGTCGTCAAACAACTGTCGGGGATCATTTTTGTCCGAAGTATGAAAGACCCGGATATCTACAAACTGCATCAAACTCGCTGGGACATGGCTCGGGCTCCTCGCACCCCGGTTCTGGCATTGACTCCCGACGGTTGCAAGCATTTGTGTGGGCCCATGCCACCCTGCTACGAAGGCGATGACGAGTACCCCACTCCCGTAGCGGGTGCTCCCATCTCGGAGGATGCCGTCAAGAAGCTGGTGGAGTTTGCACTTTCGGAGGAAGGCGACGAGTACTTTGGTCCGCTCTACCAGGACGTCCCGTCCCATGCCGTGGCCGAGCAGGCCGTGGTTGACTTTTGTGCCGAAATGAACGACAAAAACTTTACAGCCATCAATGGCGCCGCTGAAGAGACAGAGGATTCGTTCTCGGATCAGGATTTCCGACGCCTGATGGAAGTTGTCAACATACTTTCGGTGTCCACCGCCAACTCTGTGGAACGCAACAACCTCGCTGTTCGCCTAGTGAAGTTTCTCCGGAAAATGTCCAAAAAGACGGCAACCCAAGATCTAGAGAACAATGTCAAGTTGCACCAACATGAATCCGACCTCAAAATCTTGAAGGGCTGGACGGGAGAGAATCTGGATTGGGCGTTTTCGAATAAGGATGTTCTCACCGAGCTTCTGAAGGGTTCCAGTGTGAAGATTGAGACACAGGAAGGCATCGAGGTTGACCTGGCTCTTCAGGAGAAGGTGGATGGTGCCGTCAAAAAGAAGAAGGCAGAGCTTGAACGAACCATCCGAGCCACAATGACGGGTACTGCAAACAGCTGGAAAAAGACGTTCAACGCCGTCTTCTTTCCTCCGCTCGAAGCCCTAATGCGCAGTATTGGTGAGAATCCACGCTATAGGAACTTTTTCCCAATGATCACGGGTCCCAACATGTCGGGGGTTATTGTCCGTGCCTCCCAGAGCACCAACAAGCAGTCCGTCGCCACCAACCCGGAGGACGTGATGAAGATCTTCCACAAGCTGGGTGCAACTGGCTTTGTCAGCTTCACAATCAACTTCCTGCAGACATGGAAGACCAAAGTCATCAACGAAATCTGCCTGTTGGATCGTCCAGGACAGGGTTTCAACGACCCCAAAACATTTGTTCCGTTGGGTAATCGTCTTGAAGATGGACCGGCTGATCCAGCGGCTGCGTATGAGACGGACGTGCGCCACCAGTTTGTCCTTCCAACTTTTTCACGCCTCCCTAAACTCGATGACGACAGCGACGAAGATTATGATGACGATGATGAGGGCTTCTTGAAGCAGATGCCTGTTGCCCCTGCTGAGGATGACCTGGCAGAATATTTGCTGATGCGTAAGGAATTCATGCTCCGTGATCCTGAGGAAGGCACCAAGCAACCGATGTGGCAGTATGTGGACTGGTTGTTCCATCAAATCAAAGTGATTCATCAGGTGCCGGAGAAACAAGCCGCACCATTGGCTATGCGGGCCTTGGGATTCTCCATCGCGAGGCTGATGAAGGACAATCCCAAACCGGACAAGCAGACGATGGAGATTGTTTCTTCGATAATTCAAGCCATCAACTTTATGAGTGCCCGGGGTGATCCGCTTTCGCACGCTTGCATCGACACGTTGTTTAACATGGGCAGTACCTACGTCCCACAGACAAAGGATATGGAGCGCAATCCTTGGCAGATTGAAGTGATCAATATTCTGAGTGAGGCTGTGGATTATGTCCGCCCCCTCATGTCAGCAAAGGAGTACATCCAGATCCGTGCCAACTTCCAACGGGCTGCGGCGAACATGGTGAAACGCCAGATTGTTCAAAAACTGCTGGACGATATGCAAGAAGAAGTCAAGAAGAACAGGGTGTCTCAGGAGGACTATGTCGCTCAGGTCAACGCCGAGTTTTACCCTGCTTATCGCGAAGTCGTCGAGACAATCAAAATCCTTCTTGAAGCGGATGCGTCCACCTTCGAGCTGACGAATGAACTCCGTGAACGAATAGGAGTCCTGCACGACACGGTTGTGATTGTATGGGCGAAATCGATGCGCCGTTGCCGTGTTGGTCCTGTTCGCGAGATGGTCAAAGTTCTCAAGACCTTCAGCGATAAGGGGGGCAACAATGCCATGGCCTACTTGGTGGACCGCAAGGTGTACCTCCAGAATCTGTATGATCAGGTTTACCATATCAAGTACGAAGCATGTGACCATGTATTGATTGAAGAGGTCTGCAAGATCATCAAAGCCAAAACGAGAAACCCTGAGCATGAGAAACATGAGAAGTGGCTATTGCGTGTGGACCAGGCCATCCAGGATGTTTCCGGCTATGATGAGAAGATGGAAGGCTTTGCACACGGCAACCAATACAAAGTGCTTCCAACAGAGCTCATTTTGCGGATGCTGCAGAACCTGAAAGCGGATCCGGTGTCTGACGCGGCCGTGTCTTTCGACGACGTCAAATCTCTCTTGTCGCATGTCGGTATTGTCGTGGAGAAGCCTTCCGATCTAAAGGTGCTACCAGATGACCCCGATGGGCGAAAGACCGTTTTTGAGCAGCTACGCGGTGCCTGGTGGATGTGTCCGGAAATGGCCGTCGCATCTACGGCTCCGGTCAACGCCGACGAATCAATCCCTGGGGTGGCCCTGATTGCAATGGGTGCTCCAAGCCCCACTTCCAGTATCGTTGCTACCATGGGTGACACGTACCACAAATACAAGGTCGCTCGGCTCTTTTCGGGAAAGCTGCAGGTAAGTGAATGGAAATTTGTGTCACGCCCATTTATTGCGTCTTTCTGACCGTTCGCGCGTCGCTCCCGCATCTTTGCATATATCTCCCAGCCCATGCGCAACTTCATCAAAGACAACTACAAGTTTCATCTCGAATGGTTTGAGGTGAGTGGTGAACAGAACCTTCCTTCTCCGTCGTTTTCTTGCGTTTGCAGCCGTTTCTCATTCCTTCGTTGATTGTTCTGTATTTTCAGGATACAATTCGTGCGTCGGGACTCCCACAGCACTTTGACCCGACACTGGTGCAGAAGGATGAAATGATGGCCATCTACGCCGTCGTTCAGCGACTTGTCCACGAGCTGGTCCAGGATGGCTCTGACCGAGGCGACAGGGCCAGAGACAGGGTCTACGGAGAGATTATCGCTCCTGGAACGCCTCTTCCACTGGAGAATGGCAGCGCTTGAGCAAAGCCATTTCGTTTTGGTCCAACCTGCTGTCGTGGCGTCGCTTAGAATAGAATGATAACTGTTCTAGAATGTATGAGAAATGCTCGTGACACGGCAGTCCTTCATCCTGTAATCAACCCCAAGGGAGCGCCCCCCGCACATGGTTTCGCCTTATCCAATTCTCTCCGGCTTGGCCCACTCGTTATCCCAATAATCACGACCACTCCTGGCCGGATAGCCCACCGTTACAATGCCACCAGGAAGCTCTTGAGAAGGCCACCAGGGACGCTTCTGGACGCCGGCCAACAGACAGGCTTTGCTCATTCAATGATTGAAGATTCAATCGAAATCGAAATCGAATCTTCAATCGAACCAATTCGAATGGACAATCCACCCAGAGGGATCTTTTTGAGCAGCGACGATGGTGCTCATCGACGGCGCTCCAGAGTACATCTGTCTATCAAAGGAAACAGCCCCTTCGATTGTTGTGAAAGCCACTGCACCAAATGTACTTCCTGGAATGGAATTGGCGTTGTGGTAGACCGTCCGCTGTTACGCTTACTGTCCATGGAGTCGCTCAGTTGGTGGTGCTCTTCTTGACACATTGACACCAATACGGAGGATAAAGTCCTCGTTCTCCAGGAGCCAACCAGCGGGTGTAAGCAACTGTACTATGGAGCCATCAATTTCACAGAATCTGAATCGAATCGTGATCAACAACATAGATGCAATTATTGTGGGTGTGACTCGACTGTCACTCGCTCGTGCCATGGTCGTCCGTCTGTGGCCAGTTTTTGTAGCAGCGTAATAGCAGCAGCTCATTGATCATTGATAGTTGCCTGCCATGGTCATGACAGCGGTGTCAAGGAAGTCATATTGGCTACACCAATGGTGTTTGTTACAAAGAAGAAGCGCAAGGACAAAAGGTCTTGTTGCTGTCCTCGATGGATGATCATCGCGGCGTACGTAATCATAGCAGTATCTTTGTTGTGACATTATTTGGTGTTGCGGTTACATAATGATCGCGACATTAGCGACGCTTCTCATCCGAATCAGCTTGGCACCTTGCACGCATCAGAGCTTGTCCAGCTCTCGTCACAGGCCTTGGTTGAAGGGAACAATCCAAACTGCATGAGGGAAACATGGATTGCCACTAGTGCACTGGTCAGTCCTGAGGACATCCAAGCATTTAGAGAATTCCGTTTGGATTGGCACAATCTCATTCCCAGGGGCATTGAGTCGCCGGAGAAGCTAGCAGCCACAGAAACCGAAGTGACGAAAGCACTGCTTCAGTTTGAAGGTGTCTGGGGCGTCAATGATGGACCACGCCTAGCTAGAGCTAGGTCGATTCGCACATTGTTGGGGCTCTTCTTCTCCAGACAGTATCAGTGACAACATCTGTGCGCTTCAGGACAAGGACCACGCCAGTTGCATCCGAGATCCCAGCTGCACCTGGATCGAGGATTCCAAGAGTTCTTGTCGAGTGTCCAGTGCTCAAGACGACAAACAGTTCACACTGCCTCGGGACGAACCTGCTGAAGTGTGCCATAATGGGAGTCCTTTGGTACTGCGAAAGATTTCTCAGGTCCATTGGGAGCCGCAATCCACTTGGGAAGGATGCACTTCCTTCTCGCCGCTGCGTGTGTTGCGCATTGAATTGAACAGCAACGCCAAAGACATGTTCTTTCACTTTATGCGCAACTTCTTAAAGCCATTCATGTACATGGCTCACCGCGACCAATACTTGTCGGACATGGACATGCCGAACGTCATTGTATTGACCGCCAAAACCAAATTCCTTCGCTGGTTCGCACTCTTTACTGATTACTGCCCTCGCTTGGAAGCGTCGATTCCAGTTGGCGTTTGTGTTTGCGAAACGGGCGCTGTGCGGTACACGACAGAAGGATCGTCTGGAAATTGGTGCATTCCTGAGGATACAAGCTCAAGTTGTTGCGCCGAGTAGTTCTTTGCCAGAGGGTGTCGTGTTGGGTATTCTGCAGCGCATTCAAAAGCGCTTCAGTGTCAACGAACACGAGCTGGTGGAGACGGCGCGACAGCTTGGCTTTTCGGGCTGCCGCTCGAGACAATGACCATTTACGAGCAGCTCTGGGAATTGTCTCGAGTCTCCGTGTTGGCTGGAATGCACGGCTCTGGGCTCTGCAACATCCTGCTCATGAAGAAGGATCGTCGTTCGCCCAGCTTTGTCCTGGAGATCACGCCCTGGAACACATTTGGCACACACGTGTTCTTCTCCAATTTGGCCAACGCCATGAACATCCACTATCGAACACTCCCCGTGACAAACAGAACCAATGCACTGCTGCACACTCATTTTCTACGACTGAATGGAGAGGACCTTGAGAGTGTCCTCGAAAGCGGTTCCGATACAGAGGGCTCGCAGTTCTTTGAATTCTGGATCAACCAAGACGTAAGGGTGGACCTCACGACATCGACGCACATCCTCCAAGAATTCCTTCATGCCATCAATCGAACGAGGCAGCACTACTGAAGTCAAGAATAACGATGAGTCATCACTCAGTCTAAAGACCCACGTCGGGGGACGTTACACCGTACCAAGAAAACCCAATTGCATACCGGTAGGCTGCCACCAAGACGGTGGGCTACATGAAACTAGCTATCTAGTGGGCTTGGAAGTCTTGGTGGTGACTGCTGCTAGCTAGACAAACGAGCTAGTAAAGTAGCTGAAGATGTTCCTAGTGTTTCTTTGATCAAACGTCCCGAGCAAATGATGAAACTGAAACCAGACTGGCGGATCCCAGTTGATCCAAATGCATAGTGATAGACTGGTCCAATCAAAAGCATCTGCTCGTGAGATTGTGGACTAACTCAACTCCTTCACCCCACGGACATTCATCTATCTCTACTTGGTGTCGTCTGGACTACATGTAGTTAGTCGAGCCAGAGCCGACTAGCCTGATACGATGTGGCCCCATAAATCCGCTTTCTGCTGCCTGGGAAAAAGGCACAGGCGTCGTCGGAAACTTCCAAAAGTCAGCTACAAGAGCTTGACTATGGCCTCCTGTTGAGACGCCTTCTTTCCATTTTGCCAGATACTATTAATAATAGTAACCTGAAGTGGTGGTGGGGAGTTGGGAGCGAACTCCGTGTATGGCTGGGTTGGCTGCCTTTGCTTGCAGTCTTGTTGCGACTCTAAGGCAATTGCATGGCAATGGGCAAGCAGCCAAAGCGCAGCTAGTTAGATTGGCGCCGTGCTTTGCCACCGAGTAGCTTTCCATCATTCATCATATTCGGTAGTAAAGAATACTGTAGCACCAACCATAGTAGGACTTGCCTCACTGCCCATGAGTAAGAAAGGAACGATATGAACTCCTGCTCTTCCGGGACCAATTGCCCCAACTATCTGCCAAGCTGCCAGCTCAGAGTAAACATCGAAACATTAAATTTTGCTTGCCTGCATCTCACAGCTGATGACATTACAAATACATTGTTGTAGTAAAAGAACTCCGATGGCTATGCTTGTCGGTGGGCCCAAAGCACGCTGACGATCAGAGCTCGTCAGTGGTTCTGGTCAGTGACCGTGACTTTGGTGGTGATCGGACTGTGCGGCTGTACGGTACATCCATAAGCATTTACAGCCCCGTTAAAATGTACAGCTTGACAGGGGGTAGGGAGCACTACATACAGCCTGTGCATATGAACAGGGAGGATGCCCGCAGATTGAGAGCAAGGCCAGCCATTTTTTTGGCCTGAATTCAAAAACGTCCAATTTCCTGTGCAATCGAACAGGATGGCGACGTCCTGTTCAAATGCACAGGAAATTGGACGGCCTGTGCAATCGAACAGGATGGCGACGTCCTGTTCAAATGCACAGGTTGCCTGTTCGTTTGCACAGGAAACTTCCTGTTCGTTTGCACAGGCGACGGGTGCCTGTTCGTTTGCACAGGCGACAGTTGCCTGTTCGTTTGCACAGGAAACTTCCTGTTCGTTTGCACAGGCGACGGGTGCCTGTTCGTTTGCACAGGCGACGGGTGCCTGTTCAGTAGTACAGGAAATGAGAGTAAATCTCCTCTCTTGACCAGATGGAGGTATTCTGTTTCAGACTGTAGAAGTGGCTGCCTTAGATGCTCAAGTGAAAGAATAGATGGTTGCAACTTCCTGTGTTTTTCCTCTTCTCAGATAATGAAAAAGAAATCAGGAGAAATGAAGTCCAAATCTCTCAGTGACAAACCCAAAAGCCACAAGCCACAAATGACTGCAAGAGACAGATATGATAGTGGTAGAAGTAGTGGTAGCAGTAGTGGAAGGATCAGTTGTTCTTGTGCTTGTCCTTCCTTGCTGCTGTTGCTGTTGCTGTTACTGTTGCTGTTACTGTTGTTGTTGCTGAAAATGAAGAAGACTCCAACCAGCATGCACGTCAGATTTCCTGTGCAATTGCACAGGAAGCACGTCGGATTGCCTGTGCAATTGCACAGACGTCGCCTGTTCATTTGCACAGGAATCGCGTCGCCTTGCCAGGCCAAAATTTGACTGCAGGCTGGCTCTCTAAAAATCCTGTTCATATGCACAGGCTGTATGTAGTGCTCTCTACCCCCTGTCGTAGCTGTACAGTACGTACCTACATCCGTACCTCCACATTCTGGAAAAGAGTACTCAAGTACTTGTACTGTACTGCCATACCTGGTACCGTACCTCCGAGTATTAAATACGAGTAGTATGATACAGTAGCTACCGGTAATAGTATGCTAAATACATTATTAATAGCACCCGGGAGTTCGTTCATAGGAATCCAGAGATCCAGAGTCATCCAAAAGAACGCCTATTAATCTCTTAGTAACATTAATTCTACGGACTCTGAGCAGTCTTTATTCACCTGAACTGTAATTATTCTTATTGAATGTCGAGGATTTAGTACGTCATCTGCTCTTCAAGCTTCTTGACTGCTCTTGAACAATCATTTAAAAACCAGTGTTCTTTCTTCCTCCAATCTTATTGACCTACCACTGCCCCTTTGCCCTTTCGAATGCCTGACAGCTGGATGACTCAGCTCTCAAGTCATCGTTCTGGAAACCGGCACTTCTTTCGCCAAGTTTTAGAAAGGGATTTAAAACAGGATTTAATGTCACTGGCTGATTCTTCATCTCTTTTCTGGCTTGCCTTCTTTTGATTTCTTGCCAAGTAAAAACTCTGCCACGCAAGAAAAGATACGCCACTGGAATCTACTAGTATGCATACCGGTAGCTTGTAGCAAGCTCTACACCTACATAACTATAACTGTACAGCTACTGTACAATTCGGTAGGTCGCAGCTGGCAGCGGCAACCATGCAATGGGGTCAGCAGTCAGCAACTTGAAATCGTCTACGAGAGCTTCTACGAGTATGTCGGAATCTTGGTTGTAATTTTCCTTGCTGGTGAGCCCATCAGGTTTCCTTCCTCTTCACACTTTTTTTGCGCTCCTCTTTCAAAACGCACCTTGTTTTTCATTACTACTTTCCCGTTCACTACCTACACTACCACGACCACTCACTTGCACTCTTAGCTTGACCATGGCGCCCAAACCCAAGTACGAAGACGGATTTGCGGATGTCGACGACGACGACGCGTCCATTGCCGTGAGCTCTCTGGCCTCTCGTTCCACCCGCCGCTCCTCGTCTCGCAACAACAACAGCGGCAGCATTGAGATGCAGCTGGCTGTCGGGGAGAAAACGAGGATGATGCGCATGAAGTTTGTCATGTTGGGTGCTTTGCTCGTGTTTGCCGTTGCCTTGGGCGTGGCAACCTTTTTCATCATTCGTCAAGGGGAAGAGCAGACGTTTCAGCGCGAGTTTCGAAGCTACTCCTCCGAGATTGTTGCTGTCACGACCGAGCATGTGCAGAGTTCCATCCAGTCCATTGAAGCCTTTGCCAACTCTGTCAGCTCGTATGCCTCCAGCACGGGCATGACCTGGCCCAACGTGACCATGGTAAGACTTTTGTGAAGCTCTCCTCGTGGTCGCTCGTGACTACACCACCGTATCTGACCATACCTTTCGTATCTGACCTCTTTCCTCGCCTTGTGTCCTGCATACTAGCCTGACTACACCTCCAGGGCCATTCGTTTGGCCGATCTTGCTGCTGACAGTCGTCTCGTCACTGTGGCTCCGTTTGTGACCAATGAAGACAAGCTGGGCTTTGAAGAGTACGCCCGGGGCGTCATCCACGAGCAAATCCAGCAAGATCTTGACTATCAAGGCATTACAGATGTCAATGCAACCGATCTCGAAGGCATTCCCGAGGTCATCTCGTACTTTAATCTCAGTGCCCGCCAGAAGTTTGTCGAGCCTCCCAACTCCCCCTTCAACCCCTATCTCGTCAACTGGCAACGCTATCCCTTTGAAACTCCCAAGAACCGTATCTTTGTCATGAACAACATGATGCGCATCCCCACCATTCGCAATGCCGTCACCCAGACGAGGATCAGCGGTCATGCCGCAGCGACATTCTTTGAAGCCATTCTGGGAGTGGAATCCCAAATCATTCAACCCATCTTTGACAAGGTTCTTCCACCAGGAAGTAATGAAACCAAGTCGATTGTCGGTGTGGTTTGGGTGGTCTTGTCCTGGGCCAAGTACTTTCGCAATTTGCTCCCTGACTCGGGCAATGGCATCTATGTCGTCTTGAAGAGTTCGTGTGGATTTGTCACCACGTTTTTGATCCGAGGATTGGTAGCCGAAGAGCTGGGGCTCGGAGATCACCATGACACCGCCTACGATCACATGGAGATCCAGTACGACTTTGTCAACTTTAACGTCGATGGGTCCAGTGTCCCCGACGATGTGTGCATTGACAAGCTTACGCTCTACCTCTATCCTTCTGATGACCTCAAGGCGAACTACACTTCCTCCGATCCGTATGTCTACATGGCCGTCGTACTGGCAATCTTTGTCTTGACCAGCGTTACCTTTCTTCTCTTTGATTGGACCGTCCGAGCGCGGGAACAAAAGGTCATGGACCGTGTCAAGCTTCAGGACAAGATTGTCAGCAGTTTGTTCCCCACCACATTCAAGGACCGACTCTACAACATTAACGATGACCAATTCGACAACACGAGTACGTTGAATGGCAGCGTGAGTTCGGCCCTCACGTTTGGTTCAGCGACTGCCAAAAAGAAGGCCCAGAGACTCTTGGAGCGTGACTTGGACAACCCGGAAGCTCTTCGCGGAAAGCCCATTGCGGATCTTTTCTTGGAAACCACTGTTTTCTTTGGTAAGGTTCTGGGGTCATCGTGGTCGGCGTAACGTCGATTCCTACCGTATACTGACTTCCACTCGCTCTTTTCCTAATTCCACAGGCGACATCTCTGGCTTCACTAGCTGGTCTTCTGTGCGTGAACCTGCACAGGTATTGACACTGCTGGAGAATCTTTATGGAGGTAGGTGTTTTCATGAGATAAAGCGCGAAGGAACGGTTGAAAGCCAACATAAATATGGTCGACTCACAAACTGTTCCTTCTCGCTTAGCATTTGACAAGATTGCAAGACGCCACTTTGTCTTCAAAGTGGAAACGGTACGTAGAACCCGCTGCTCTGAGAAAGCGGCACTCGGTCTGCGCTTCTCGCTTTGATGTTCGCTCAAGATGTCTGAATCTCTTCCAACTCTCACTCGAACCAACCAACCAAACAGATCGGCGACTGGTAGGAACAGATTTTTGTGCGCAAGTCCAACAAAAGTTCGTCTCTCATTCATTTGCTTTCTCAGTTATGTCGCCGTCACAGGCCTCCCCGATCCAAGAGAGGACCATGCTATTGCAATGGCTCGGTAAGTGCAGTAATTTGCACGTACGTGCTACGTTCGCAGTGATGCTGTGTCATCACCCTCACGATTCTTCCTTGCATACGATAGCTTCGCCCGTGATTGTATGCACAAGATGAAGGATTTGACCCGCAAACTGGAGCTTCGCTTGGGACCTGGTACTTCAGACTTGAATCTGCGCATTGGCTTGCACAGGTGAGAGAACTCTATTTCGGCCATCTTGTGACTTCCATCAAACATGTCAACGAGGAGCTCACAATACCCCTTCATTGATCTGTCCGTTCTTTCTTTTCAGTGGGCAAGTCACAGCTGGTATGCTGAGAGGAGAGAGGGCAAGGTTTCAGGTACGAAAGCGCTGGAAATGCTATCTCCAGCCGATTGATGGCAGTATGAAACTCACTTCACTTTTTCTTGGATCTCGCAGCTCTTTGGGGATGTACGTCTTCCTGTCCGCTGCTTTTCACCTCCAATGCCCTTTTGTTGGTCCAAGACCTTACCTGTTCGTTCCTTCCACAGACCGTCAATACATGCAGCAGAATGGAAACGGCGAGTGTGCCCGGACGCATTCATTTGAGCCCGACTACCGCCAAGCTCTTGATCGAAGCAGGAGCGTCAGACTGGATACGCGATCGCCCCGAGAAGGTCTTCATTGCTGGGAAGGGGGAAATGGAGACTTACTGGCTCGAGACTAAGCAAGACTCCGCTATTCGTAGGAACAAGGATTTCGACGAACCCAGCCAGCACCTAAGGGCTTCCAGCGTGCACTTTACAGACGACGATGACAGCACCACCTCTGCAGATTCGATGGCAGCCGAGGAACTCGAGAACCTTCGAGGCATGTCCAAGTACGAACGTCTTATTGATTGGAACGTGGAAATGCTTTCAGACTTACTGAGACAAATCCTAGCTGCTCGAGATCCCAATGTTGTTGTTCGTGCAAACATGTCCGAAGCAGAGAAGAAGATCGGAAGGCATGGCACTGTGCTGGAAGAATGCAAAGATATCATCGCACTGCCAAAGATCGGCTACAAGGACCTGCAAATTCGAAGAGACCCCGAGTCAATTGAGCTCCCTGACCGAGCTGTGGAGCAGCTTCACCAATTCCTCTCGATAGTCTGCGACAACTATCTCGATAATCACTTCCACAACTTCGAAGTAAGTCCAACGCACACTTGGTGTTAGACATGAGCACGTTGCCGCGTCGTGTCATGCCATGCTCACGATCACTTCCATACACCGTGTTCTTTGTCGCAATGTAGCACGCAAGCCACGGTAAGCAAATCTTGGTTTCGCCGAACACCCACCGACTACCACAACCGAACAATGACACTGATACCAATTTTTCTGTCGTCGGAAAACTATAGTGACATCCTCCGTTCTGAAACTCCTGACACGAATTGTGCAAGTGGATACCACAATGCAGACATCCCGCGAGGACGACCTGAACAGCGGTGTCTTCAAGCTCACTGATTTTGCGGGGCACAGTTACGGTGAGGATCAAAGAGACTTGAAACGATTTCGGAATGTGGCCATGCTACTGTACACTCTTGCTAACACGAAAGACCTTCGTTCTGTAAAAACAGGTATCACTAGTGATCCGCTTACCCAGTTCGCCGTCGTGTTCTCTGCCGCCATTCATGACATGCAACACCCGGTGAGTGAAGGAATTGCGAATCACTCCCAGCATCAAGATGGCAGCATGCCGCTCATAAATCGATTCTTTCTGCATCTTCCAGGGGATTCCTAATGCTCGAATGGTGGAAGAGAACGATCCATTGGCCTCAAAATTTAAACAAAGCACAGCGGAGCAGAACAGCGTCGAAGAAGCCTGGAAGATTCTGATGAAGGACGACTTTAAGGATTTGCGAGCTTGCATCTACAAGGATGAAGCTGAACTGAAAAGATTCCGGCAGCTTGTGGTGAATGGTAAGCAACCTGGAGGAACTCTTGTGGGAAACATGGCTCTTCGTTGGAAGCAAAGTCCTCACCCTCTTCCCTTCTCTCTCTCTCTCTTTTTAGTGGTGATGGCCACGGATATCTGCGACAAGGAACTGGGAGGGATGAGGAAAACTCGATGGCAAAAGGCTTTTTCCCCAGACGTTGCTGGATCGCCTCCTGAGGCTGCATCGAGGACATCTCTTGTGGGACCCTCTGTGCAGAACGTTGGCATGAACGAAAAGGCCACAATCGTTGTAAGTTCTTCATATGGATCTTGCTTACTGTGGTCTTTACAATCTCCTCATTCTGCTATGCTCTTCACCCCTTTCACAGATTGAGCATTTGATTCAAGCCTCAGATGTGTCGCACACGGTATGTCTTTCCGGCAGCATAATATCCAACACCCTGCCACAAACCAGTTGGGACTCACTTAGTTTGCTCTTCCTGGGTATTATCACTTTCAGATGCAGCATTGGTAAGTAAGAGAGGGTGCCCCACACGATGCCCCTTCCCCTCCCCTCTACTGTACGATGCAAGGAAACTGTCAACTCACGAACTATGTGTGCTTGTTTGGCTGCTATGTTTTAGGCATGTTTACCGTATGTGGAATGAACGTCTTTTCAATGAGTTGTACACCGCCTACCTTGCCGGTCGCGCCACTAAAGATCCCAGCGAAGGCTGGTACGAAGGGGAGATCGGTGAGTGCTTGAACGTCTGCAGATGCCGTTGCTTGCTTCTGTCATGAAAAATCTAATGAAATCTGGCCCATCCAATGCCATCTGTAGGATTCTTTGACTTCTACATCATTCCACTTGCCAAGAAGCTCCACAGCTGTGGCGTCTTTGGTGTTTCTAGTGCCGAGTACCTTTCCTATGCTGAATCCAACCGCGACGAATGGAAGAAAAAGGGGAAGGAAATCGTACAAGAGTATCTCGCCAAGTTCAAAAACCGATCGGCCGTCGCCCCACCATCTTCTTATATCATTCCTCCTATTTCCAATGAACGACAACGAACGGTGGGCAACCAAAAGGCAACGGATGTGGCTGCACCAACGTTGTCAGGGGACAACCAAGCCACGATTCCATTTTCTACTACTGATAAGAACCATGAAAGCTTCCAAGATGAAGTTGAGGTTTGAGCCAATGTAGCCCGACCTGAAATCAACAGGGTCCAATAAGGGAGTGAGTAGGCACGTTCTGGCTGCCCGGGGCTTCAAGCTAGTAAACTAATCACGCTCCTCAACATAGTGTTTCCCAGTCTGGTAGCTCGACAACATCACTTTCAGACTATGGATTTCAGTCATTGCAGAAGTACTTGCATTCAGACTTCTCAAAACCTCACCCTCTACTCCTGGAATAGGAACTCTAGCTAGCACTTCGGTGTTCTACACAAGACCAGCTGCAACAAGCACCTTTTTGTGGCCAATGGAGGGGTACCGTCACCCCTATGGTTGCACAGTGGTGGTACCTCTATGGTTACACAGTGGTTGCAACATCAACCAATGGGCGTGCTTACCGACGATGTGCAGAACTGCAAGCCAACATCATTGAAAAAGTTCCTGATAAATACAGAGAGGAAGCGCTTCTCAGCCCAAAACGTCAGTCTTCTTTTCTACCGTAGCTGGCTACGGCAGTATGGTACTGACAACAAGGATGACCATTTGAGGACCCCTAATAAGTGTCAATTGTCCTGTCAACATTGTGTGGTTTAGATGTCACCATTCTGGTAAACTCCGGAAATGACCCAGAACTTTCATCACAACTTGGAAAGACGATAACGCGATAACGGCGTTTGGTCCACGGTACTTGCCAGCTACTAGTACTACTGGAGCCAAAAGGGGAGGCCAGATTCTTGGCAACTGCAACTTTGCGCTGACATTGTCAATTACCACAAACACAACGCCATGAACACTGCCGACACGATGAGTAGTAGTGCGTTGTTTGATCCCCTCACTACTAGCGGTATCAGCAATTCCGACAAGGATGTGGAGCGTTCCGGCCTGGCATCGATCGAAGAGTCTGCTGGTTGGCACCGCAAGGTCAAATCCAAGTTGGCGTCATGGGATCCTGAAAACGAAGAACAATGGGAGAATGGTTTTGGAGGTCACATTGCCACACGCAATCTGTTGATAAGCATTCCCAACATTAGCGTGGCATTTGCTGTGTGGGTGATTTGGACGATCGTCTCGAAATCCATTCTGGAAGTTCACAAGGCCGATCCCACCCTGTACGCGTTTGAGGATTGGGGGTCTCCCCAAGATGACGAGTACAAGAGACTCGTGTCCTTGTTGCCCTCTGTCGCGGGACTCTCGGGAGCCACACTTCGCGTCTCCAATACCTTCATGACACACATTGTTGGTGGAAAAATTCCCAATGCACAAAACTCCATTTTGCTCATGTTGCCCACCATTATGATTGCCTGGGCCTTGAATTCCACCGACACGTCCTTTTCTGTACTCCTCCTGGCGGCATGGCTCACGGGAGTGGGAGGGGGAGCCTTTTCCTCATCCAACAATAACATTTCCACATTGTTCCCCAAAAGCCAACAGGGATATGCCTTGGGATTCAATGCGGGAATTGGAAACTTCGGAGTCTCGCTCACGCAGCTATTTGTGCCACTCTGCATTGGTACTTCCTTTGGCAATCAACCCTTGGCGCCCGACCTGGAAGTATGGCCCAATCATGGTAAGCAAGTTTATTTCTAAAAAAGTGTAGCCATCAGACTCAAGTGATTCACAAATCGCTTCGCTAAACAACTCACACGTCATGTATGGATGTACATCTATACAGCTGGTTGGGTCTGGTGGCCAGTCGCTCTTCTCGCAGCCATTGGGGCTTACATCTGGATGTCTGACCTACCAGAGCACGGAAATCACAATGGAAATGATGAGCTCTGGAATACCATCTACTTTTACTGCATGCACATCCAAGGATTGCTAGGGGGGGCTTTGGGGGTCCTCTTTCTCATCGCCACCCGAAACACATCCTTTTTTCATATATCCGAAGAAGTTCAAATCGCTCACAAGTTCTTGGCGGTTTTATTGACATGTGTGGTAGAGCATTTGATCCTCTGGTATGTCAGTCCACCTGTTGTGAGAGAGGGCGTTCGCAAGCAAGGAGAAATGTTCCGCGACAAGCACACTTGGATCATGACCTTTATCTACATCATGTCATTTTCCTGTTTCATCGGATACGCCGCGGTGTTCCCCAAACTCATCGATTTTGCCTACGGAAAATCGCAGGAATGGGGATGCACCGATCAACATGGCGTCTTTACCGTGGGGGGAGCCGAAGATGACTGTTTGGACTACGGTGGAACATGGACCAAGGAAGCCATTGACAATCCGGATGCACCCAATCCATTCTCCTATGCATGGATTGGTGCGGGGGTGGGATCCCTCATTCGTCCGGTGGGAGGCATGGCGGCCGATGCCTGGGGTGGCGCCAATTGCACCATGGTCCTCACTCTGTGGCTTGCGGCAGTCAGCATGTGGCTCGGATCTCTCCTAAAAAAGACCATTTCTCTGGATCATCCAGAGGACACATTTGCGTTGTTTGTCTTCCTCTCGTTGAATGTGTTTCTTTCTGCCGGTGGAATCAACGGAACCAGTTTTCGAACCATTGGTGTACTTTATGATACCAAGCTCGCGGGACCGGTCTTGGGATGGAGCAGCGCCATGGGGAGTTATGGAGCTTACATCTTCCCAGAGCTATTTGACATTGCCATTGAATCCAACAGTCCCGAGAAAACATTCTATGGCCTGGCAAGCTACTATTTGGTATGTGCGGGGCTAAATTGGTGGTACTATGTGCGACCAGGAGCCGAACGTCGAGGTGTTTAGGAGGGAGGGGCTTTTTCTGAAAATGAGTGATTTTTCTGAAAATGAATGATAGCAAAATGGAGGGAAATGGTGCCTCAATGGAGTTCTTGTAGATATTCTAACACCCTGAACTAGTACAGTATATATTATCCACTCTTCATGGTTGTCTTAGGGGAAGTGTTTGGAGGCTGTTGGAATTCAATCAATGAATGGTGCATCCAAGCATGCCGCCAAGAAGATGAATGACTTGGGCTTCGCGGAGCTTGATTCCGCATCATCCGCCCTGACGCCTTGGACAACTTTGTTCCAGGGGCATCCCCAGTACCGGTACGAACACTACTACCTGGTAGCTAACGGTACGGTAGCTAGTAAGTGGCAAGGGCCCCCGCGCCTCAACCAGTTAGCCAGTCGCTACATCTCTTGCAACAATAGGTGTGGCTGGATATAATGAGTACTCTTGAGTCAGGTTCAGACCTTCAAAGTGTGGTTGCGCCTTCGTTGGTGTGTTCGAAGGGGCTGAAATGGCGTTTTGTGGTTCTGGGACGACAGATCCTTTCTCGACACGAGAATGTGTGTGTAGGTGTGTGTACGTTGAGTGTTGTGTGAGATGTGTGATGTGTGTGTGAGATGTGTGAGACACTACTAAGAGTTAATCTACGACGAATCTACATTTGGATGTTTATCCATGGGGTATACCATTGCTTGCTGATTTCCAAATTCTGAGCTTAGGAATTTCGCTTTTTCTTCATCATGGAGCAAGCTGGGGATGGCAAAAGATACAAGCGGGGTAGGCTGTGAGAAAAAGCAAGGGTACCCTGTTTTGTGGTGATTTCGAAATAGACACATAGGAGCTGGTAGGTATAGACCGAAACCAAGCTAAGCTAAACCGTAAATCCAATCCTCGATGGCTGGATGTGTGTGTGTGTGTGTGTGTGTGTGTGTGTGTGTGTGTGTTGTGCCAAATATCCAACTATGTACATGTAACTGATGCTGGGTTCGGAAGGTTCCTACTTGGTTGCCAGTTCAGATTCAGCTT